CACAAATCACATAACCTGCCAAAAGGGTCGAACATGCCCAAAAAGAGGACATGTCTGCTCAAAGAATAAGAAGGCCAGCCTGGCATGAATGCATGTCAGGCTGCCTGCCAATCATGCAGCTGGCCAACTAAGGGCATACTATGCAGACAGCACCCTGAGCTTGGCATAAATGCATCTAATGATGCGCTTGCTCAACGCTTTCTAAGGACTGTCCCCTAGCACTCTCTGGTCCACTTGTCTCCTTACCTTCTTACTAGCAGGCAGACGCTCCTGGTATATAGTCTGGGACAGAGAAAAGCTGTATGTAGTGAGTGTAGAAGAAAGGGAACATGCCACAGTGTTAGAGAGACCAAAGTCAGCATTAACTTAGAGGATCACTATAAGGTCAGGAACACAAACATGAATTCCTGTCCCTATAGTGGGCCCCCCCCCTGGGCCCCTCATGCCTCCATAAATATAGTAAAAATCTTACTGTATTCAAGCCTGAAGCTGTAACTCTGAATGCTGTTAGACTCAGAAAAACAAGCAGTCTGCTGACATCATTAGAAGTGGTGGCCTGATCCAATCACAGTTCTTCCCCATAGGATTGGCTGAGACTGACAAAACGGCAAATCAGGGACAGAGTCAGCATGATTCAAACACAGCCCTGGCCAATCAGCATCTCTTTATAGAGATGAATTGAATTAATGAATCTCTCTGAGGAAAGTTCAGTGTCTGCATGCAGAGGGAGGAGACACTGAATGTTTGGATGCATTTTAGGCAGCCATGACCCAGGAAGGATCTCTAACAGCCATGTAAGGAGTGGCCAGTGAAGTTATCACTAGGCTGTAATGTAAAGACTGCATTTTCTCTGAAAAGACAGTGTTTACAGAAAAAAGCCTGAAGGTAATGATTCTACTAACCAGAACAAAGACAATAAGCTGTAGTTGTTCTTGTGACTATAGTGTCCCTTTAACTATATTCATTGTCAGCCAGTCCACACAAGTTTTGTTCCCATACATCCCTCTTAAGTTTCCATACTTAAGTAAGAGTATGTGAAAAATAGTTAGGGTTGCCACCTTTCTTGGAAAAACATACTGGCCTTACTAATTTGCATAATTAAATATATATATCGGTGATATCACATGATGTAAATCACAAGGAGTGACATAAGAAAAAATGCTGTAAAATCACCAAAAAACTATTTAGTTTGATTATGCTGTATAGATGGATTCCTCCCAGTGCCCCCATGTGTTGATTACTCCAGGTCTCAGCGTTCCTATATATCAGTGTCTCAGTGCCCCATGTCTCCCAGTGTCCCTTAGTGTCGTGTCCCCAGGTCTCCCAGTGACCCTATGTATCACAGTGTCCACATGTATCACAGTGTCTCAATGCCCCATGTCTCCCTGTGTCCTCCAGTATTCCCATGTGTCTATGTCCCCATGTATGTGTCACTAGGACACTAGGAAGACGGGGAGACCTGGGGACACGGGGAGACCTAGGGACACAGAGACACCAGTGACAGTGGGAAACTAGTGGACACTGGCTCGGACACATGGGGCCACTGGGAAAATAGGGGACACTTGAAGACATGGGGACACAGACACTAGAGACACTGGCTGGGGGACATGGGGACATTGAGACATGGGGGCACTGGGAGACATGGGGACACTGAGACACCAGGGCCACAGACACTAGGGACACTAGCTTGGAGACATGGGGACATTGAGACACTTGAGGCACTGGGAGACATGGAGGCACTAGGATACATGGGGACAGTGAGACACTGGGAGACTAGGGGTCACTGGGAGACTAGGGGGCACTGAGACACCAGGGACACTGGCAGGGGACATGGGGACACTGGGAGACATGGGGACACTGTGTCCCCATGTGTCTGTGTCATAATGTCTCCCAATGTCCCTTAGTGTCTCAGTGTCTGCCATAATGTCTCCCAGTGTATGTCTCCTTGCAGCCTTCCCCCCATCCCTTACTTCCCTAAACTGTAGGCTGTCTCTGCAGGGTGGGAGTTGCTGTCTGGACTCTGTAGCTGCACCCCTGCAGATCAGTGAGTATAGATAGACAGGGAGGGATTTGCTGGAACTTCCTATCCCTGCCTGTCTCCACACACAGTGACCCCTACTGGCCAGTGCTGGTATTGCAGAGTAATCTCTTGTTTATACTGAGAAAAATACCAGCATCTGTCTTGCCAATATCACTGCAATATTGGCACCAGCAAGGCAGCCTCAAATACTGCCAATAAAATAAAAGCAAGGTGGAATCCCTAAGAGTAGTGTGTGAAAAAAAATGTAAACAAAAAAAAAAATTTTAATTTTTTTTTTTTTTTTAAATCAATGGGCCTATTCCATGGGCCTGGGCCTGGAGCTTCAGCTCCATCAGCCCCTATGTTAATCCGGCCCTGGGCTCAGTCTGTATAGAACTATACTTTATAAGTCCATGGCAGAGATCTGGTGAGCACCTGGGAATATGTTCCAACAAATATTGTCGGGTAAACCTTTAAAATAATTTTTTCAACATATTAAAGTAACAAAAAATATGGCATGATAAAAAACATATATCAATATATTAAAAAAAAAATATATATAAAAATATTACAAAATTATTATTCAGAAAATAAAATCATCTATAACGGTTATCCAACAAAATTAAATCATTTGGAAAGTGTATCCAAAATATTAAATGGGAGCCTGAGTTAGTTTTAGAGATTATCAAAACTCTTTGTTTAGTGAATAAACACAACTACTTTTTAATTCACAAATTCCAAACATTAAATTCAATGCAGATTGTCACATACTCTTTACTCTGCTATTTAATGATGATTTGGGGATTTAAACTGAAATAGATGGCACATTGGACATGAGAGAAATATTGAAAACATCAATGACTCCATGACATTTAACTCCCAGAGAGCTGGATGATGAAACGTGTTTATTAGAGGTTATTTCTAAAGAAACAAAAACAGCCATAACATAGCAAGTTTGAATTTTGTGCCTTTAATGTTTAAATAAAAAAATAAAAATAAAGATTTATCAGTCTAGGAAAACACCAGGGTTCCTTAAATGAAGAAGCAGGAATGCTCAACAATGGTATGTTTTAGGAAATATTTTTGATCTTGTCTTATCTAAAAACAGCATGAGGCCAACATTGCAATCAAAACGAAACGTATGCTAATCCCTTTACCCATAAGCCTTTGCAACAGTAAAGTACCTCAACGTAAAGACTTGATTTATTATAATACTCATGCCTTGATCTTCAGAAAACACCAGAAGGCATAAATTAAATAAATAAACAAAACACTGAAAATATATCTGTCCTTTTAATTAAGAATATTCAAGGTCATGTGCTCAGCATATTAACGCTAGATAAACAACTGTTAATTAAGGTTTTTTTTTTCTACGTTCATTAAATTGTTACAATGAGAACGACTCTTGGCTTTGACTCTTGGCTTTGTTTTCATATCCTATTGTTTCTTACATTTCTGGTACATGTATTTTTGGATAAAAACCCTTCACTAAGCTTCCAACAGTGTTATACTAGGAAATAGAATGAGGTTATGTAACAAACTGAGGGTTAATTGTGTTCTAGTTATACAGTAATCTCTACATGGTTGTAACCTGAATATCAACATAGGCTGGCAATGAGCACACAAGGCAGGGTTTATCAATATAATTCTAACAGGAAGATAACAATGAAACACATTCTGAGAAAGACAAGCAAGTGAGAGACAGAGAGGGTGAGAAAGCAAAAGAAGAAGGTAGGGGAAAAGTCAGTGCATGGCAAAGAGCGAGAAATTAGAATATAATAGATAAAGGGAGTGTATGAGAGAGAAATATAAGGATAGATTCAAAGAAAGAATGTGTTTGAGAGAGCTACAAGGTCAGGCTGAGAAAGATTATGTTTGAAAGATATAGCAAAATACACAAAGAAAGGCAGAAATTATGAATGAAAGACAGTCTGCTAAATTGGATGGTAGACATCAATGACACAATAAACATAACAAGAAGGAAAAAAAATACAGACTGCGTAAAGACAGATTGGAAAGTTGGAAAAGTTAAAGGCAAGTAGAAACTATTCAAATAAAAATGAAAGTAGCAAGACAGGGGGATGGCAGGGGTATGGAGGGGGAAGAGAGAGGGGTGCTTGCCGCCGCAAATTAAAAATCAGATGGGATGTATTTACTCGCACTAAAATACAAAACATTTTACATAGAGTCAAATGAGGCACACATTTATAAAATCTATTTTTGATAAAAAAAAATTAATTTATTTAGGTATTTTACAGTTGTTAAAAGATTAAACATTTTATTTCAAAATATAGGAAAATGTATATAGCTTTATACTATGTAGAGGGGATTTTCTTAAAAACAACTAAACCAGGGAATTATCATCCAATGGATTAATGAACGGATGGACATACTACAAAAATTTTTTTGAATTATTTTAAATAACCACGATATAATCTAAAGTTATTTGCCAATTTGTCTGCTGCTAATCCCAAGGATTATACTTCTACAAGCCTTAAATTAACTGTTTCGAGTACAAGTCTCGGGATATTCGCTAGAATAATTGATTATTTTTTTCTATTATTTAGATTTTTTTAATTCTTCATTTAAAGATAATTCAGCAATGTTATTTTTAATTATCTGTATTATGCATACTTATATTACTTCCTCATTGCAGTTTTAGGGTGAGCTGTTCACCTACTGGAAACTCCCAGAGAGCGCATTTGTACTCAGTTCCTCTTAATGAGATTTTACCATGCCAATTTCAGCAGTAAATCTAAAAGAAATTGCTTTGTTTGCAACCTGAAAGACATTCATGCATCTTTTTCGCTAAAGCATAGAAAAAAATTCAAAAATTTTCTTTTTCTGATGGCGGCTTGTCATACAAAGTTATTGTTACAAAAAGCTCCTTGTTTTGTTCCACGGACACTGTAGAGGACCAAATTTCAACAATACTACAAAGGAAAGGTCGGCGCTTCTAGTCTGTTCCTCGACAAAAGCAATGTCTTCCAGCTTCCAAATGATGGAAGTCAGCTCAACCACAGATTGTCAGATCACGTACTCAAAGCCAAATCTATCTTATTCAATCGAAGAAATTTTAAAGAAACCATTAAATCAAAATCTTTCAAAAGAAGAAAAGGTTTTGAGATATTCACGCACTAAGGATCACCTACAACTCCAAAAGAAGCATCCCATTGAACTGGTTGTCACAGGCAAGTCAAATTCAAAAATGCATGCAAACGATTGTTAAATGATTTAGTTTTTATTTCCAGCATAAGCAAGAGTAATCTTGCATGAGATTCATAATTAATACTAATGCAATATGACACTGATTATCATTGGAAAAAACCATACACAAAATCTGGTTGTTACTTCAAAGTAAATTGTGTAATTGTTTTATTAGCCTCCATGATACATTTCATATTGTTTATCGCCTTAGTTATATCACCAGTTGAAAAGTGGTAATCATTGATTGTTAATGGAAGTTTCTGTTAGGGTGATAATTTTAAAACTGAAGTCTAAATATATGTATGTATAGTCCAAGTATATATATATATATATATATATATATATATAAAATGTCCAAATACTTACACTCCTGTGATAGTAAGTTAATGCCCGGTGCTAGTAAAGCAAATAACATAAAAAAACAAAGTAGTAGGTAATAGCACTCCAAGGACTTCAAAAAGTATATGGTGAAAAAAACTTAGCTTTTATTCAGCAGCTGCCACACAGAATCAACGTTTCAGTTCTAGTACAGAACTTTCATCAGGAGAAAGTTCATCAACTTCCTGATGAAAGTTCTGTACTAGAACTGAAACGTTGATTCTGTGTGACAGCTGCTGAATAAAACCTAAGTTTTTTTCACCATATACTTTTTGAAGTCCTTGGAGTGCTATTACCTACTACTTAGTTTTTTTTTTATATATATATATATATATATATATATATATATATATATATATATATTTATATATATATATATATATATATTTGCTTGCATCTATACACTTTGCTTTTAAGATTATTATCCACATCATATCCCTCTCCATTATTAGTAGATTTATTTCATTCAGACTCTGGCCTACCAGCAAATCATTTACACACAGCATTATACAGAATTGCAATGTCTTGCAATACTCTTTTATTTGAGAATTGTCATGTAACAAGCATATATGTATATCATTTTAAACGTGTTCTATTGACAATACCAGGTAATAGGCATCACAATTTTGCATTTTTGGTCCTGCCAAAATAGAAATAAAAATAAATATATGCATGTTTACATTAAATGCCCTGGCTATGCCTTTTCAGGAAGCGGTTACGTAGAAAATGTAGTGATAAAATATATCCCGAACCCCTGGTATGCTAAAAGTTAAAACATAAAAAACGTATTTGAGCAGAATATAATGGGAATTGTAAAAAATATATAAAAGCCTTATTTACTACAGTGAGAATTCAAAGTGAATTTCACATTTAATATCAAAACAGTAAAATTGGTAAAGTTCTCTAAATCTTCTTTGGCTACTCTGACCTTAAATTTAAATTCTCACTAATCCTGTAAATCTTTCGAGGTTACTTTAGATTCATTGAAAAATGTGATGTTTTCATGCAGCCTTGAAAGGTCTGACCATACCTGCAACTTGTTGATTTTGTGTAATCTTATGTTTACTTCAACTTCGTCACTTTTGTTATCATTACTTTAAAAAAATATATATAATTTTATTAAAGTTCACTAATTTATTTTATTAATCTAATCAGATTATAAATTTTTTTCAAACTAATGAATACGTAAACAGACGGTTGCATTCAAAATATGGGTCAACCGGTGTCACATTGCCACAATGTGTGCTGTATTGTATATTTAACAAAAAAAAAAGATAGAATCTGCAAAAAGCAGAGACATCATGTTTTGCATCTATTATTTAACTTACAGATTTCCGTGTTTTTTTTATTTCTTTATGTTAAGTGTACTTATGATACATGTGTGTTTACTTTTTGGAGTCAAGTCTACCTATATCCTCCCCTTTAGGTCATGAACCAAATACACTTTTAGTTAGAGCAGTATTGCATATATTACTTTAATGGTTGTATTGCACATTTCTGTCTCCTTGGAAATATGGAAAAGTAGACACTCAAGTATCACAAAGATGAAAATCATATATTTGTGAACATGGGGACAATCACAGAATATTGATTGCGGCATTTAATTGTAGATTATGCTAGCTTTAGTGTACCTATAATCTTAATTTTATTAATGACAGGAGGCAAGTATTTGCTTTAGTCTCTCTTTACTAGAACTCCACAGCAGCACAGAAAAAACAACCAATCAGGAAAAAGTTAGGTACTATAAAACTCCCCTCCCCATGCATCATTTCCTCTTTCAAGCTGCGACAAAACAGAACAAAAGACAGAAAATATAATGGAGAAGAAACAAAGTCCTAGATATAATGAATACGACAATGTCCACCATCCGAGAAGAACTGCCAAACCAGATAGCGTTGATGGACTGTAGACTGAAACGAGAAAAAAAAAACATAATCGAAAAGGTTGGTTAGTCAATGAAATGTACTCTGAACAAAACATGTAGGCACCCAGTGTAACAACCAGAAATGTCATAATATACAGAGATCCCAACCCTTACTTCGGAAAACGAACTCAAAAACAAGTGACAACAAGCAGAGTTGCATACGTACCTACTTGTACCCAAACTATAATATAAAACAAGGGAGGGATACGAATGGGTGGGAAATACTCGCCTGTCATTAATAAAATTAAGATTATAGGTACACTAAAGCTAGCATAATCTACAATTTTATAACATGACAGGAGGCTTCGTATTTGCTGTTTTAACGCTCAGCCAACAAATCCAACGTTGTTTGTTTCGCTGGTACATATTCCATGAGCTTTTAGAGCAATCCTAACCTAATCCAACAGTGTGAGGTGACATTAGACGGATCGCTGAGAATGCCAGCTGTCGAGGCACCCCAAAAATACGGAAAAGACACCCTCTACTGGTAGATCCATTGTACCTGGGGTTGCGACCTGTTTCCTAGCAACCGATCCATGAGCTGCCAAGCTGACCTATTAACCCTTTTACTTAAGGTATAAAATGTCGAAGGTCATTTGCTAACATAGGGCCGCGAGAAGAAACTGCCACCAGGTCTCGACTCTTGATGTGGAAGATGGCTCCTCCGGTCGTGCCAGGGTCACCAGGTGATGTGGCCCTGCAGGCAAAACTCCAACCTCAAGTAATGCGTCGAAGTCTATCACCAATTCCGTAACAGAACCGAGTAGGGTCGTTTTGTTCCTTCATGACCTAACCGGTGAGTTGTCTCATCTGAGAATGAATTTATTATGCAGGCAAGTGTGTGGTCAAACTAGCCGTATCCTAAGTGATTCCGATAAGGGTCCCAAACTGAACTTGTGTAGTGAAATGGTGGTCAACTATCCTGGGGATTGTGAATCCCGGGAATAACCAAAAGGAGAGAAACATAACCAGGGATTGAGGTTTCCATCCAGATATATTGTCAAAGAGCGATAAGATGTCTGGATCCAACGGAAATTGGGACCTGGATAACAAAGAAGAGTCCTCACCTGCTGTAGTGAGAGAGTGAAATAATCCGATTACTCGTTCGTACGATCCTGTTCCATGCCCGACCTGTCAAGATTCGCGTAGGAGCTCCTGGTCTGTACGCCACCTACAAGATAGGGTATAATATAGTGAGACCATAGGACCTGCACTTCTGACCATCCGGGCACATATCTCCAAGAGTAGGCCCTAGGTCAAGGTATCCAGGAATGTGAATTCAATAACCGAAGTCATATATATAGAGGAATATCTACTTCTTAGCCTGGAGACACGCAAACTCATAGCGTTCTCTACTACGCAGGTAAGGCCTAAAGTCTCTTAACTCACGACAGGTGACTCCAGAGAGCAGATATAATGAAAAACAAGAATCTAGCTCCAAACGTCCGAAGCAGGTGTCGTCGAGTTTGGGAACGTCGTCAACCATATCTGAGCAGTACTCCAGTGGTAGGTTGTGACCCGACTAGTAACCTAGTAATGAGGTGCGGACCTCCCTATTGAATGGAATGCTAATTAATTAATGAAGACCAGGAAAAGGCAGGAATTTTAAATAACTATTTCTCCTCCGTATATATTAAGGAAGAACCCATGGCAATAGATGTGCAAATGATTGCTACTAAAAACTTGCAGAATAATTGTAATTGGTTAACTCAAGACAAGGTGCTGCAGCAACTAAAGAAAGTTAATATAAACAAAGCTCCAGGACCTGACGGTATCCATCCACGTGTACTTAAGGAACTAAGTGCAGAAATAAGTGAACCTCTGTTTTTAATCTTTCAAGATTCTTTTCTTTCAGGAAGTGTTCCGGAGGATTGGAGGAAGGCAGATGTGGTTCCTATATTCAAAAAGGGTTCAAAATCCTTGCCTGGAAATTATAGACCTGTGAGCTTAACTTCTGTGGCTGGTAAAATATTTGAAAGGTTATTAAGGGATAATATTCAAGAATTCCTTGAGAAGAACATGGTTATCAGCAAAAATCAGCATGATTTTATGAAGCACAGGTCATGTCAAACTAACTTGATTGCGTTCTACAAAGAAGTAAGTAGAAGTATAGATCAGGGTGTTGCCGTGGATGTGATCTATTTGGATTTTGCCAAGGCATTTGATACAGTTCCACACAATAGATTAGTGTTCAAACTCAAGGAAATCGGTCTAGATGAAAATGCTTGTTCTTGGGTAGAACATTGGCTTAAAAACAGAGTACAAAGAGTTGTCATTAATGGTAAATTTTCAAGCTGGACAGAGGTGGCAAGTGGTGTCCCTCAGGGGTCTGTTCTGGGACCCCTTCTATTTAACATGTTTATAAATGATCTTGAAGACCGCATTGAAAGTCATGTTTCAGTGTTTGCAGATGACACCAAACTTTGTAGAACAATACAATGTGAGCAAGATATTACTTTGCTGCAGAGGGACTTAGATAGACTGGGGGACTGGGCACTCAAATGGCAGATGAAATTTAATGTTGAAAAATGCAAAGTTATGCACTTCGGCGTAAAGAATACACAAGCAACGTATACCCTTAATGGAAGCGAATTAGGGATAACAACACATGAAAAGGACTTGGGAATTGTTATAGACAACAAACTATGCAACAATGTGCAATGTCAATCAGCAGTGGCCAAGGCCAGTAAGGTATTGTCATGCATGAAAAGGGCATTCATTCTCGGGACAAGAATATAATTTTGCCTCTTTATAAATCACTGGTAAGACCCCATATTGAATATGCTGTGCAATTTTGGGCACCTGTTCTAAAGAAGGATATTATGGCACTAGAAAAAGTGCAGAGGCGGCTACAAAATTAATAAAAGGAATGGAACATATCGGCTATGAAGAAAGGTTAACAAATTTAAACCTATTTAGTTTAGAAAAACGTCGCCTGAGAGGGGATATGATAACATTATACAAATATATTCGGGCCAATACAAACCATTGTGTGGAAATCTATTCACAAACCGGACTTTACATAGGACACGAGGCCATGAGTTTAGACTGGAAGAAAGAAGATTTCGCCTAAGGCAAAGGAAAGGTTTTTTTACTGTAAGAACAATCAGGATGTGGAATTCTCTGCCTGAGGAAGTGGTTTTATCAGAGTCCATACAGATGTTCAAACGGCTACTAGATGCATACTTGCAAGAACAGAATATTCAAGGATATAATCTTTCAATGTAGGGTAATAACTGCTTGATCCAAGGATAAATCTGACCGCCATTCTGGGGTCAAGAAGGAATTTTTTTCCTAGTTTGTTGCAAAATTGTGCTTCAAACTGGGTTTTTTTGCCTTCTTTTGGATCAACAGCAAAAAACAAATGTGAGGTAGGCTGAACTTAATGGACGCAAGTCTCTTTTCAGCTATGTAACTATGTAACTATGTAACTATGTAACTATGAGGGACGCCCCTCTATGCAGTTCATCGTTGTCCTGCACAGGTACAAGCCTGTGTGCTGAAGGATGGATGAAACCGTGGTGTGTTGAGTGTATGAGTGAGCGAGCTGCATTCTCTAATAATGTAACCGAACTCTGTGTCAGCATCAGGCTGATAGCATGAGTGGGCCGCATCCGTCAATAACAAAATTAGAGTCGACATCCTTGTCCGGATTCTTCTATGAGAGTGTGACATTCTCAAAACACGTCCTCTGTATCCCTCTCAGTATCGTGCTGAGGTTGAAGGAGGGTAGCGCCCTCTAATGAGGAATCAGCGTCCGGTTCCGTACATGAGAGGGGTTCGCTCTCTATTCGTGTAAATAAAATTATCAGTCTCGGGCCGAGGCGATGGAGGGCTGTGATCCAACTAGAGTCCATATCAGACTCAGGGTGACCAACTGCAGGGGTTCACCATATAATGATATCTGCCTACAACTGAGGTCCTGAGGGGGTTCCCTCTCTGACCACGAGACCTCCGAATCACCCACCTGAGGGTGGGATCAACTGGTAATAAACCAGATCGAAGGTAGGCGGAGTAGTAGACAACCTCGGGCCGTGCCAATCTTTAATAACAGAAGGGGGTGATGCGAGTATGGAACCTCTGGAAACGATGATGGAATCTACCAACGGACCGCCCGGATCCGGTTCGCGCTCGCAGGGTCCAGGATGACCGTAGGTAGTCTGAGTAAAGCTGGAGATGTTCTCCGTGATCCACGAGAGCCCGGGAGGTTGGAGGAGTTCAAGTTAGGCCTCTCGACAAGCTGAGTGATAGGAGAAGAGAAGGTCCGAAAAACAAAGAAACGATAATAATACTAAAAGTAAATACGTACCTCGGAGGGAAGGTAAATAGTAGACCGGAAAAGCAAGTCAAGTAAACCCCTGAAATGGGCCGGGGGTTAAACTTGACGCAGGAATAACTATTAATACCTAGGATGGATACCGTAAAAAATACAGAAGGCTTCACAAATTTGCGTGTCATCCTTGCGCAGGGGCCATGCTAATCTTATCACACAGATAGAGCAGGCCCGTCAGGAGGGCACAGACATAGCAGACCAATCAAATGGGCACAGACATAGCAGGCCATCAATGGGGCACACACATAGCAGGCCAATCAATGGGGTACATACATAGCAGGCCGTCTTAATGGGGCACAGACATAGCAGGCCAGTCAATGGGGCACAGACATAGCAGGCCAGTAAAAATGGCGCAGACAGGGCAGGCCAAGTCACTTATCAGTGGTGTACCAAACAGCGATAAGGGGCAATGTTAAGGAAGCGCTCCTTATCTGTGTCATAATAGGTCCTGGGGCACCTTGCTAGAATGGGCCAGATGTAGGCCTCTGATACAGTAGTTATGGTGTCTGCAGGGTACAGGCTCCCACTGGAAGCAAGTGTATGAAGTATGATGTAGTACCCTGTGTGGGACACCTACAACTGTCCACCCATGCATAACCACATGCAGAAACCAATAAACATAGAGTTAAGATAGGAATAATATTTGCACAGCCTATGTCCTTTAAAATTATTGATATTTCTACTTTATACCGTCATTTTCCCATACCAGGTATCAAATCCAAGTGCAAGTGTAGGAGGCTGACAAACTGAGTGATCTTGAAGTATGCCTTCACACCAGAGAAGTACTTGAAAGAAGTGGGAACAATGCTTCTCCATATGACTTAAAGTGCATAATGTATGACATTATGCCATTTTAACCAGTATCAGCATGGACACATCACTTGATCCCAACACAAATCACAAAATAAATATGCTATTGGTAAATTTAAGGTCTGTGTCATTTGGAAAAAATAAATAGGCACATAAAGGGGGAAGAATCCCCAGAGGAGGTATATAGAAAACCAGAGGAACACAAACTCCCCACAAACCCCAGAGCAATAGGCAGAGGGGTATAAAGCTGAACACACAAACAAGTCCCCAGATAATAAAGAAGTAAAACACTGTAAATATAATTAAAATCATCCAGCCACCAACTAATATTAGCAGGAGGCAGTGGTACTCTGACCTGTACTGATGCAGAGCAGCAAAGAAAGAGGAAATGAGGCATGGGGAGGGGAGTTTTATAGTATCTAACTTTTTTCTGATTGGTTGTTTTTTCTGTGCTGCTGAGGAGTTCTAGTAAAGAAAGACTAAAGCAAATACGAAGCCTTCTGTCATGTTACAAAATTCAGATAATGTAATTCTCAAGCTCCGTCACTTGATGACAGTTGAGTGATGGGAACACCTTATTCCCACATGAATATCATAGAATAGAAAGATATCCTCTACAGCAAATAAATGAGGCAATGTTGGATCAATGCATATTCTATTCTCAAACATGACCCATATCCTAGTTACAAAACTCAGTAAATAAATAACATCTTGTGAAAAATACAGCTATGAAAGTAGGAATCAAAAGCAATCTAGTGATGTACATTAAGTGTGTCACCAAGAAAAAAACATTCCAATATAGTAGTTTTGTACTAAAGTTGAAATGTTTGATGGTTAAGTACATAGGCCAAATTTTATTAACTAGCACATATATATTCGTTTTGCTATATTCTCACTGTACCCGGTTTTTGATTCACACATTTCCCAGAATTATGTTAACAAATTGCAACAAAAACTGAGAATATGAGAACAATGATACACATTTTCTTGCATTACATCACTTATCTGCTTTGATATTTACATGATTTTATTTTTAAATTTGTAATGCCATATTTTTATTTAACCTCACTGTTACAAGTTCTCATTCCCCATTTGTGTAATCTTGTGTCTCTATTCAGTATCAGTATCAGTAGTGTTAAAACTATAATATTTTACAAAGTTGGCTAAAGATAATGATAAAACTTTAAATGAACTTCAATTTTCCAATTTCACTCAGCAAGTCACTTAAACTGCATTTAAATTCCATCTGTAATGTAGTGTAATCTTTATTATGCCTTATTAAATGATTAATTTGTCGGCAAGTTTCTATTATGTTCTTATAGAGACAAACTCTCAGTTTAAAACTATGCTTCATATAAGTGCAACCAGTTGTAAATATTAACATTAATACATTATTCATTAAAATATAATTCAAGAGATGAAATGACAATGTTTGCAGGATTGCAGCTTTGCAACTCTATCCTGCTCTATCCAACAACTAGTCAGCCTGTCTGCCGCTGTCAAAGACCCCCTAAAGCAGGGGTGGGGAACGTCTCGCCCACGGGCCATATAAGGCCCGCAAAATCATTTGGTCTGGCCCATGGAGAGCTGACTCTGCTCTCTGCCTTTTTTGGGCTGGTGGGGCGATCAAAGATCTCCCTCACCGACCTCCTGGCAGTTTGTTAAGGGAGGCTGAGGGAGCTAAGACCCAGGAGCCTGCTGGATAAGAGGAGGACCCAGGAGGCTATGATCCACCCCTGAGCAGGCAAGTCGGAGGGTTGCCAGAAGTTACCATGGTAACACTCTGACAGAACTGTTCTCGTGGGAAGAAAAGAGTGAAGTCAGCCTGCAGCCGGAGGAGCTGCAGGCTAAAGTGCACGCAAAACCACTGGGCCACCAGGGCTTGCAGTGATAAGTCCCCTCCTTCCAGGCCAGAGGTAAGGAGGGGGGTGGGGGGGAAGGGGAAGTGCATAAAGTTTTTTTTTCCTCTTTTTAAGTTAAAAAAATATAGAGAGAGATTTTCTCCCTAATCCCCTCCTCCACAATATAGACCCCTGACACACACTACACCCCCTCACACAAACACACTGCACCCCACACCCAAACACACACATAACCCCTCACACAAACACACTACACCCCCTCACACACACTATACCTGCTCACACAAGCACACTGCACCCCCTCACACCCACACAGAACCCCTCACACAAACACACTACACCCCCTCACACACACTATACCTGCTCACACAAGCACACTGCACCCCCTCACACCCACACAGAACCCCTAACACAAACACACTACACCCCCTCACACACACTATACCTGCTCACACAAGCACACTGCACCCCCTCACACCCACACAGAGCCCCTCACACAAACATACTGCACCCCATCACACATATACACAGCACCTCTCACACAGCACCCCTCACACAAACACACAGCACACCTCAAACACACACATAACCCCTCACACAAACACACTGTACCCCATAAGTGCAACCAGTTGTAAATATTAACATTAATACATTATTCATTAAAATATAATTCAAGAGATGAAATGACAATGTTTGCAGGATTGCAGCTTTGCAACTCTATCCTGCTCTATCCAACAACTAGTCAGCCTGTCTGCCGCTGTCAAAGACCCCCTAAAGCAGGGGTGGGGAACGTCTCGCCCACGGGCCATATAAGGCCCGCAAAATCATTTGGTCTGGCCCATGGAGAGCCTCACCTGCTGTAGTGAGAGAGTGAAATAATCCGATTACTCGTTCGTACGATCCTGTTCCATGCCCGACCTGTCAAGATTCGCGTAGGAGCTCCTGGTCTGTACGCCACCTACAAGATAGGGTATAATATAGTGAGACCATAGGACCTGCACTTCTGACCATCCGGGCACATATCTCCAAGAGTAGGCCCTAGGTCAAGGTATCCAGGAATGTGAATTCAATAACCGAAGTCATATATATAGAGGAATATCTACTTCTTAGCCTGGAGACACGCAAACTCATAGCGTTCTCTACTACGCAGGTAAGGCCTAAAGTCTCTTAACTCACGACAGGTGACTCCAGAGAGCAGATATAATGAAAAACAAGAATCTAGCTCCAAACGTCCGAAGCAGGTGTCGTCGAGTTTGGGAACGTCGTCAACCATATCTGAGCAGTACTCCAGTGGTAGGTTGTGACCCGACTAGTAACCTAGTAATGAGGTGCGGACCTCCCTATTGAATGGAATGCTAATTAATTAATGAAGACCAGGAAAAGGCAGGAATTTTAAATAACTATTTCTCCTCCGTATATATTAAGGAAGAACCCATGGCAATAGATGTGCAAATGATTGCTACTAAAAACTTGCAGAATAATTGTAATTGGTTAACTCAAGACAAGGTGCTGCAGCAACTAAAGAAAGTTAATATAAACAAAGCTCCAGGACCTGACGGTATCCATCCACGTGTACTTAAGGAACTAAGTGCAGAAATAAGTGAACCTCTGTTTTTAATCTTTCAAGATTCTTTTCTTTCAGGAAGTGTTCCGGAGGATTGGAGGAAGGCAGATGTGGTTCCTACATTCAAAAAGGGTTCAAAATCCTTGCCTGGAAATTATAGACCTGTGAGCTTAACTTCTGTGGCTGGTAAAATATTTGAAAGGTTATTAAGGGATAATATTCAAGAATTCCTTGAGAAGAACATGGTTATCAGCAAAAATCAGCATGGTTTTATGAAGCACAGGTCATGTCAAACTAACTTGATTGCGTTCTACGAAGAAGTAAGTAGAAGTATAGATCAGGGTGTTGCCGTGGATGTGATCTATTTGGATTTTGCCAAGGCATTTGATACAGTTCCACACAATAGATTAGTGTTCAAACTCAAGGAAATCGGTCTAGATGAAAATGCTTGTTCTTGGGTAGAACATTGGCTTAAAAACAGAGTACAAAGAGTTGTCATTGATGGTGAATTTTCAAGCTGGACAGAGGTGGCAAGTGGTGTCCCTCAGGGGTCTGTTCTGGGACCCCTTCTATTTAACATGTTTATAAATGATCTTGAAGACCGCATTGAAAGTCATGTTTCAGTGTTTGCAGATGACACCAAACTTTGTAGAACAATACAATGTGAGCAAGATATTACTTTGCTGCAGAGGGATTTAGATAGACTGGGGGACTGGGCACTCAAATGGCAGATTAAATTTAATGTTGAAAAATGCAAAGTTATGCACTTCGGCGTAAAGAATACACAAGCAACGTATACCCTTAATGGAAGCGAATTAGGGATAACAACACATGAAAAGGACTTGGGAATTGTTATAGACAACAAACTATGCAACAATGTGCAATGTCAATCAGCAGTGGCCAAGGCCAGTAAGGTATTGTCATGCATGAAAAAGGGCATTCATTCTCGGGACAAGAATATAATTTTGCCTCTTTATAAATCACTGGTAAGACCCCATATTGAATATGCTGTGCAATTTTGGGCACCTGTTCTAAAGAAGGATATTATGGCACTAGAAAAAGTGCAGAGGCGGGCTACAAAATTAATAAAAGGAATGGAACATATCGGCTATGAAGAAAGGTTAACAAATTTAAACCTATTTAGTTTAGAAAAACGTCGCCTGAGAGGGGATATGATAACATTATACAAATATATTCGGGGCCAATACAAACCATTGTGTGGAAATCTATTCACAAACCGGACTTTACATAGGACACGAGGCCATGAGTTTAGACTGGAAGAAAGAAGATTTCGTCTAAGGCAAAGGAAAGGTTTTTTTACTGTAAGAACAATCAGGATGTGGAATTCTCTGCCTGAGGAAGTGGTTTTATCAGAGTCCATACAGATGTTCAAACGGCTACTAGATGCATACTTGCAAGAACAGAATATTCAAGGATATAATCTTTCAATGTAGGGTAATAACTGCTTGATCCAAGGATAAATCTGACTGCCATTCTGGGGTCAAGAAGGAATTTTTTTCCTAGTTTGTTGCAAAATTGTGCTTCAAACTGGGTTTTTTTGCCTTCTTTTGGATCAACAGCAAAAAACAAATGTGAGGTAGGCTGAACTTAATGGACGCAAGTCTCTTTTCAGCTATGTAACTATGTAACTATGTAACTATGTAACTATGAGGGACGCCCCTCTATGCAGTTCATCGTTGTCCTGCACAGGTACAAGCCTGTGTGCTGAAGGATGGATGAAACCGTGGTGTGTTGAGTGTATGAGTGAGCGAGCTGCATTCTCTAATAATGTAACCGAACTCTGTGTCAGCATCAGGCTGATAGCATGAGTGGGCCGCATCCGTCAATAACAAAATTAGAGTCGACATCCTTGTCCGGATTCTTCTATGAGAGTGTGACATTCTCAAAACACGTCCTCTGTATCCCTCTCAGTATCGTGCTGAGGTTGAAGGAGGGTAGCGCCCTCTAATGAGGAATCAGCGTCCGGTTCCGTACATGAGAGGGGTTCGCTCTCTATTCGTGTAAATAAAATTATCAGTCTCGGGCCGAGGCGATGGAGGGCTGTGATCCAACTAGAGTCCATATCAGACTCAGGGTGACCAACTGCAGGGGTTCACCATATAATGATATCTGCCTACAACTGAGGTCCTGAGGGGGTTCCCTCTCTGACCACGAGACCTCCGAATCACCCACCTGAGGGTGGGATCAACTGGTAATAAACCAGATCGAAGGTAGGCGGAGTAGTAGACAACCTCGGGCCGTGCCAATCTTTAATAACAGAAGGGGGTGATGCGAGTATGGAACCTCTGGAAACGATGATGGAATCTACCAACGGACCGCCCGGATCCGGTTCGCGCTCGCAGGGTCCAGGATGACCGTAGGTAGTCTGAGTAAAGCTGGAGATGTTCTCCGTGATCCACGAGAGCCCGGGAGGTTGGAGGAGTTCAAGTTAGGCCTCTCGACAAGCTGAGTGATAGGAGAAGAGAAGGTCCGAAAAACAAAGAAACGATAATAATACTAAAAGTAAATACGTACCTCGGAGGGAAGGTAAATAGTAGACCGGAAAAGCAAGTCAAGTAAACCCCTGAAATGGGCCGGGGGTTAAACTTGACGCAGGAATAACTATTAATACCTAGGATGGATACCGTAAAAAATACAGAAGGCTTCACAAATTTGCGTGTCATCCTTGCGCAGGGGCCATGCTAATCTTATCACACAGATAGAGCAGGCCCGTCAGGAGGGCACAGACATAGCAGACCAATCAAATGGGCACAGACATAGCAGGCCATCAATGGGGCACACACATAGCAGGCCAATCAATGGGGTACATACATAGCAGGCCGTCTTAATGGGGCACAGACATAGCAGGCCAGTCAATGGGGCACAGACATAGCAGGCCAGTAAAAATGGCGCAGACAGGGCAGGCCAAGTCACTTATCAGTGGTGTACCAAACAGCGATAAGGGGCAATGTTAAGGAAGCGCTCCTTATCTGTGTCATAATAGGTCCTGGGGCACCTTGCTAGAATGGGCCAGATGTAGGCCTCTGATACAGTAGTTATGGTGTCTGCAGGGTACAGGCTCCCACTGGAAGCAAGTGTATGAAGTATGATGTAGTACCCTGTGTGGGACACCTACAACTGTCCACCCATGCATAACCACATGCAGAAACCAATAAACATAGAGTTAAGATAGGAATAATATTTGCACAGCCTATGTCCTTTAAAATTATTGATATTTCTACTTTATACCGTCATTTTCCCATACCAGGTATCAAATCCAAGTGCAAGTGTAGGAGGCTGACAAACTGAGTGATCTTGAAGTATGCCTTCACACCAGAGAAGTACTTGAAAGAAGTGGGAACAATGCTTCTCCATATGACTTAAAGTGCATAATGTATGACATTATGCCATTTTAACCAGTATCAGCATGGACACATCACTTGATCCCAACACAAATCACAAAATAAATATGCTATTGGTAAATTTAAGGTCTGTGTCATTTGGAAAAAATAAATAGGCACATAAAGGGGGAAGAATCCCCAGAGGAGGTATATAGAAAACCAGAGGAACACAAACTCCCCACAAACCCCAGAGCAATAGGCAGAGGGGTATAAAGCTGAACACACAAACAAGTCCCCAGATAATAAAGAAGTAAAACACTGTAAATATAATTAAAATCATCCAGCCACCAACTAATATTAGCAGGAGGCAGTGGTACTCTGACCTGTACTGATGCAGAGCAGCAAAGAAAGAGGAAATGAGGCATGGGGAGGGGAGTTTTATAGTATCTAACTTTTTTCTGATTGGTTGTTTTTTCTGTGCTGCTGAGGAGTTCTAGTAAAGAAAGACTAAAGCAAATACGAAGCCTTCTGTCATGTTACAAAATTCAGATAATGTAATTCTCAAGCTCCGTCACTTGATGACAGTTGAGTGATGGGAACACCTTATTCCCACATGAATATCATAGAATAGAAAGATATCCTCTACAGCAAATAAATGAGGCAATGTTGGATCAATGCATATTCTATTCTCAAACATGACCCATATCCTAGTTACAAAACTCAGTAAATAAATAACATCTTGTGAAAAATACAGCTATGAAAGTAGGAATCAAAAGCAATCTAGTGATGTACATTAAGTGTGTCACCAAGAAAAAAACATTCCAATATAGTAGTTTTGTACTAAAGTTGAAATGTTTGATGGTTAAGTACATAGGCCAAATTTTATTAACTAGCACATATATATTCGTTTTGCTATATTCTCACTGTACCCGGTTTTTGATTCACACATTTCCCAGAATTATGTTAACAAATTGCAACAAAAACTGAGAATATGAGAACAATGATACACATTTTCTTGCATTACATCACTTATCTGCTTTGATATTTACATGATTTTATTTTTAAATTTGTAATGCCATATTTTTATTTAACCTCACTGTTACAAGTTCTCATTCCCCATTTGTGTAATCTTGTGTCTCTATTCAGTATCAGTATCAGTAGTGTTAAAACTATAATATTTTACAAAGTTGGCTAAAGATAATGATAAAACTTTAAATGAACTTCAATTTTCCAATTTCACTCAGCAAGTCACTTAAACTGCATTTAAATTCCATCTGTAATGTAGTGTAATCTTTATTATGCCTTATTAAATGATTAATTTGTCGGCAAGTTTCTATTATGTTCTTATAGAGACAAACTCTCAGTTTAAAACTATGCTTCATATAAGTGCAACCAGTTGTAAATATTAACATTAATACATTATTCATTAAAATATAATTCAAGAGATGAAATGACAATGTTTGCAGGATTGCAGCTTTGCAACTCTATCCTGCTCTATCCAACAACTAGTCAGCCTGTCTGCCGCTGTCAAAGACCCCCTAAAGCAGGGGTGGGGAACGTCTCGCCCACGGGCCATATAAGGCCCGCAAAATCATTTGGTCTGGCCCATGGAGAGCTGACTCTGCTCTCTGCCTTTTTTGGGCTGGTGGGGCGATCAAAGATCTCCCTCACCGACCTCCTGGCAGTTTGTTAAGGGAGGCTGAGGGAGCTAAGACCCAGGAGCCTGCTGGATAAGAGGAGGACCCAGGAGGCTATGATCCACCCCTGAGCAGGCAAGTCGGAGGGTTGCCAGAAGTTACCATGGTAACACTCTGACAGAACTGTTCTCGTGGGAAGAAAAGAGTGAAGTCAGCCTGCAGCCGGAGGAGCTGCAGGCTAAAGTGCACGCAAAACCACTGGGCCACCAGGGCTTGCAGTGATAAGTCCCCTCCTTCCAGGCCAGAGGTAAGGAGGGGGGTGGGGGGGAAGGGGAAGTGCATAAAGTTTTTTTTTCCTCTTTTTAAGTTAAAAAAATATAGAGAGAGATTTTCTCCCTAATCCCCTCCTCCACAATATAGACCCCTGACACACACTACACCCCCTCACACAAACACACTGCACCCCACACCCAAACACACACATAACCCCTCACACAAACACACTACACCCCCTCACACACACTATACCTGCTCACACAAGCACACTGCACCCCCTCACACCCACACAGAACCCCTCACACAAACACACTACACCCCCTCACACACACTATACCTGCTCACACAAGCACACTGCACCCCCTCACACCCACACAGAACCCCTAACACAAACACACTACACCCCCTCACACACACTATACCTGCTCACACAAGCACACTGCACCCCCTCACACCCACACAGAGCCCCTCACACAAACATACTGCACCCCATCACACATATACACAGCACCTCTCACACAGCACCCCTCACACAAACACACAGCACACCTCAAACACACACATAACCCCTCACACAAACACACTGTACCCCATAAGTGCAACCAGTTGTAAATATTAACATTAATACATTATTCATTAAAATATAATTCAAGAGATGAAATGACAATGTTTGCAGGATTGCAGCTTTGCAACTCTATCCTGCTCTATCCAACAACTAGTCAGCCTGTCTGCCGCTGTCAAAGACCCCCTAAAGCAGGGGTGGGGAACGTCTCGCCCACGGGCCATATAAGGCCCGCAAAATCATTTGGTCTGGCCCATGGAGAGCTGACTCTGCTGTCTGCCTTTTTCGGGCTGGTGGGGCGATCAAAGATCTCCCTCACCGACCTCCTGGCAGTTTGTTAAGGGAGGCTGAGGGAGCTAAGACCCAGGAGCCTGCTGGATAAGAGGAGGACCCAGGAGGCTATGATCCACCCCTGAGCAGGCAAGTCGGAGGGTTGCCAGAAGTTACCATGGTAACACTCTGACAGAACTGTTCTCGTGGGAAGAAAAGAGTGAAGTCAGCCTGCAGCCGGAGGAGCTGCAGGCTAAAGTGCACGCAAAACCACTGGGCCACCAGGGCTTGCAGTGATAAGTCCCCTCCTTCCAGGCCAGAGGTAAGGAGGGGGGTGGGGGGGAAGGGGAAGTGCATAAAGTTTTTTTTTCCTCTTTTTAAGTTAAAAAAATATAGAGAGAGATTTTCTCCCTAATCCCCTCCTCCACAATATAGACCCCTGACACACACTACACCCCCTCACACAAACACACTGCACCCCACACCCAAACACACACATAACCCCTCACACAAACACACTACACCCCCTCACACACACTATACCTGCTCACACAAGCACACTGCACCCCCTCACACCCACACAGAACCCCTCACACAAACACACTACACCCCCTCACACACACTATACCTGCTCACATACTGCACCCCATCACACATATACACAGCACCTCTCACACAGCACCCCTCACACAAACACACAGCACACCTCAAACACACACATAACCCCTCACACAAACACACTGTACCCCACACACAGAACCCTTCACCCAAACACACAGCACCCCCTCACACACACACACACACACACGGCACCCCTCACACACATGGCACCCCTCACACACATGGCACCCCTCACACAAACACAGACCAACCTCCCCCACACAGCACCCCTCACACACACACAGAGCCCCTCACACAAACATACTGCACCCCTCACACACACTGCACCCCTCACACACACACTGCACCCCTCACACAAACATAGAGTACCACTCACACAAACACACTGCACCCCATACATACAGAACCCCTCACCCAAACACACTGCACCCCCCACACACACACAGCACCCCTCACACACACACATAGTACCCCTCACACACACACAGAACCCTTCACCTAAACACACAGCACTCCCTCACACACACACACACACACCACTCCTCACACATGGCACCCTCACACAAACACACAGCAACCCCCACACAGCACCCCTCACACACACAGAGACCCTCACACAAACATACTGCACCCCTCACACACATACTGCACCCATCACACTCACACTCTGCATCTCTCACATTCACAAACACACACTGCACCCCTCACACACACTGCTTCCCTCACACAAACATACAGAACCCCTCACACAAACACACTGCACCCCATACACACAGAACCCCTCACCCAAACACACTGCACCCCACACACACACACACACAGCACCCCTCACACACACATAGTACCCCTTACACACACACACACAGAACCCCTCATACAAACACACTGCACCCCACACACACAGAACCCCTCACACAAACACACACACAGCATCCATCACACACCCCGAACCCCTCAAACACACACAGACCCCTCACACAAACACATTGCACTACATACACACATAACCACTCACCCAAACACACTGCACCCCCTCACACATACACACACAAAACCCCACACACACAGAACCCTTCACACAAACACACACACAGCATCCCTCACAAAAAGTTACTCCTGGGGCAGAGTGTGATGACATATACTTGCCTTAACTTCTAGCTTCTTGATGCTGCTCTTATTCTATGTCCAGGTCTACAGCTGATGGTGGCTTCATCTGGTAGAAGCTGTGTCACTTTTGTACTCTTGTAAATTAATGGGAGTACAAATTGAGGGTCTGCAGAAGATCCTGAGAGATCATATGATCTCCCATTGCTAAACTTGTGCAACAGTGGTGAGATACCATAGACATCTATTGCTCAGTTAGTGAAATTGTATCTGCTTCCACTGGCCATCACAAGTGTCTGTTGATGAAATGGGCAGCATATGGCCGTGGAAGCGACATTTTGCTAAATGTATTTGCTAAAGTAGTCCTTGATTTGTCTCATACGCCTCTTCAGGTTGTAATGGATTCTATTTGATCTAAGGAGAGGTCTGACTGCCATTCTGGGGGTCACGTTTGTTGTTGAGTGCTTCCAATTGGGTTGTATTGCCTTTTTTTTGGATCAACAGCAAAAACTTATATAGGAGAGGCAGAACATGATGGACTTTTTTCAGCCTATATAACTATGTAACTAGTTTTATGTAAAATTAAAAATGACACTTTTTGATATTTGTAGTGTCTTTTATTCAATTAAAGGTATGTTCAAGTTAACCTCTCTCCTCTTTCTTGACCACTTTGCTGCCTGGCTAGCCTTCTTCCTCTCTTCTAATATTCAATCCCTAATTATTGGGGACTTCCATATTCCCAATAACCCACCTTTAACCTCAGCAGCCTCTAAACTACTTTCAATTACTTCCTCCCTCGGGTTATTGCAGTGGGCTATTTCTCCCACCCATGTAGCTGGCAATACCCTCGACCTCATTTCCTCTTATGCATGTACAGTATCTAATATCTGCAACACTCCATTTCCTCTCTCAGATCACCACCTCTTATCATTTACTCTCGAGTACCCCGTCACCCAACAACCTCAGCCTAACCCCCCCTCAACTCAGGAGGAACCTTAATTCTATTGACCTCCACCAGCTGTCAGCTGATATTGATTAAAAACTGCTATCCATACATCTCCTGTCCCTCACTGGCCATCTCCACATATAACACTACCCTCACCTCTGCCTTGAACGCTGCAGCCCTGCTCCAAACATGCACCTCGAAGAGGATGCAACCCCAACCATGGCATACTAAATCAACACGCTATCTGCAAAGTTGCTCCCGTTGTGCTGAACGCTCCTGGAGGAAGTCTCGCACCCAGTCAGACTTTCTCCATTATAGATTCATATTGTGTTCTTACAGCCCTTGCCCTCACCAAACAGTCATACTTTTCCTCTCTCATTAGTTCATTCTCCCGCAATCCAAGGCGTCTCTTTGACACCTTTAACTCTCTTCTTCGCCCTGCTGGGATCACCTCCCAAACTAACCTTACAGCTGATAGCTTTGCATGCTACTTTACCAACAAGATTGAACAGCTAAACAAAGAATTCTCAGCACCCCCAGTCCCCTTTGCACACTCAGTAGCCCATGTCCCCCTTGCACATCCTCAAACCCATACCCCCTCTCAGACCCAGCTGCCCATGTCCTTCTCTCACATCATCAAGCCCCATGTCCCCTTCGTACACCCTGCAGCCCCATGTCCCTATCCTACAGTCCCCCACACTCAACATCCCCTATCCTCCCCTTACAAACACATCCCATATTACCCCACACACACGCACACTCAAGGGCAATCTTGAGAGACATTGAAAAGATATGCCAACTTTGGAGACGTGTGCATGTCATTGGTGATTACGCAACTTGCACTCTCTCTGGCTGATCTGCCTTTAAATGTTCATGCTGAATTTTTGTCCAGCCCTGAAAAAGACAACAGCTGCACTACAGTTCTGAGAAATAGGTCACAGGGAAACTGCATTCTAGATGAGCTGTCTGAGTAAAACAAATAGGTGTATAAGCTTTAATGCATATGGATACTATAGCAATAAAAGCGTTATCTATGATTTGAAACAAACACTCAAAATTCAGGAGAAATACAATACATACATTAAAAACAAAAGAAAAGAGTTACATGAACACTTTTCCAAATATCTATGCACATAAATAAATAACTGAAGGTTTTTAGTAAAACTCTATGAGAGACCACCCTGTCTCTGTATTATTAAAGCTTTTTCCCCATTCTCCTGTTTGTTCGGTTCACCGTGTTCATCTAAAGCTTTCTGCTTACTGTTCAAATACCGAACAAAACTCACCAACTACCAGACCACCCGTATGGTGCGTGTGCTGCTCGTTAACCTCCATCACCCCTGTCAACACCTCATTAACATTTGTAACTGCAACGTTCTAAGTGATCGACTGGGTGGCCGCCATTCATATGTACAAACACGTGGTGACAGACATCGTGAGCTGCGAATGCAGGCAGGGGTGTTTGGTTGCTGAGTATGTGGAACTGAAATCGCATACTCGACCTCGTGAACACCACTGAACTTCCATCCCCACCTGTGTTCGGTTATATCCATATGAAAAGAACAAGGTTCGGTGCGAGCTTACTCCCAAATGAGGGAGGGGATTACCCTGTAATGCTGAGTTGGAAACCCCTTGGAGGGGCTGTTACATAAAAGGCTGTGTGTGGCCTCCAATTAACTAGTTTGCCCCCAGCATTCAGTCTCGACTAATGTCTGTGGGGGAAAGCTATACCTCCTATATCACTACTTTACCTGCTTTGGATTATCTTTGTTGGGAAACTCTGCTTGGGATTGCTACAGCATAACTCACACAAGGGGGAAAAAGAACATCTCTGGTGGTGAAACCCTTGTTCCTATCCGGGTGGCCGCCACAAACTCCAATGGCAATTTCAAGTGTAAGCTTACCTGCCACATCAAGGCAAACCTTAGGTGAGCCCTACACTAACAATTTACCTTGCTACTTTCAGCTTCAGGTAAAAAACAAACCTCTAATAAGACAGAGAGGGGTATTAACCCCTGCACACTGATTAACCCTTAGTATGGAAAACGTGGGGTGGACAGTAGCATTGTAATATGGCTGTGTGATAAAAATGCACACATGAGATGATCTGCTTTGATATATAATTATATCTAGAATATGAATTGTGCCTGAACTGTAATAATCAGTTGAATACTTCTCAATAGTGGGTTCATTTATGTGTGTTTAAAATGTATTTTAAGACAGACAATTCAAACAGTAAAACAGCATCTTAAATGACCACCAACACCCATAAAGCACTTCAGCTTGTTGGAGTGCTTTATGGGTAAGGAGTATCCCTTTAAAAAGGCACTTTGGTTTCTTTCTACATAAGAGTGTCTGCCTACCCCCTGCATTGACTGTATGTAATAAGAAATGCAACTTTTGCAAGTTATTTACCAATCTGCCCCCTATGAATTCATACATAAAAAATTTATGTATGTATTAATTGGGGTACATCTATGAAACAGTGATTTTCATTTTATTCATAATTTTACCTGTGGAATTATTCATTTTGATATTAAACATACCTTTTGAACGGGCACCAACACTTCTTAAGTGGATGTAATAGCTTTTGGCCTCACATTCATGCTGTGTTTTTCTCCTTGTCCATATTTCTGTAACTTTGCTTAAAAAAAAAAGTTATTCTACTTTAACCCCTTAAGGACAGCGGGCGTTCTATGCCGTCATTTTTGGGGTGGCTCTAAACGCCAGCAGGTGGCATAGAACATCCCCGCTGTCCTTATTACTTACCCAATCAGTGTTGCTCCTGGTCTGGGCGGACTGCCTGACAGCCCAGACAGTCCCCCCTCAGCAAATTAGGCCCCCTCTGGCCATGTGATCGCTCTGAAAGAGCGATCACATGGCCACAATAGGCGTCCATAGTGCTGCTGCAGGGGGACTGCCTGGGCTGTCAGGCAGTCTCCCTGCTGCTGTAAAATAAAAGAAAATATTTTAGTAAATAAAAAAAAAATATATATATATATATAGTGTAGCCCTCTTGGTTTTAATATATATATATATATATATATACACACACACAAACACACATACACACCAACAGAGTTGTGGTGGGGAATAAAAGTGTGAATGAAAACCCTTTCCACTTGAAGGAAGTGGGTAGTTAATACATTGTTAAACACAAATACACAAACCAGTCAAGACATAAGACTTGCTTTTCCAACAGAAATCTGAAATTAACAGTGCTCTCACTACTGCAGGGGATTCTGGGTAGGCGTATGCAAAGGAGCTCAACAAAGAACCACATTTTTGCCTCATAATTCCACTTTGGCTCAGTTCCACTTTGGATTCCTTGGAATATGTGTCTGCTGTATACAACAGCTTTGAAACACAACTCAGGAAGAGGAGCAAAGCCAGAGAACCACTCATGGACAGCTGTTTCTCTGTTAATGCAACTCTTCAGTATATATATATATATATATCATACTAAGTGTATTTTTTTATGAATATATGCATATATTAATATAAGAATACACTTAGAATTAAACATACATATATATATATATATATATATATATATATATATATATAGTAAAAAATACATAATAAGTAAATAAAATAAAAAAATAACATAATAAAAAATATCTTTTTAAAAATGTATACATATATGTAATTTCATTCTAACTGTATTTTGATATGAATATATCCTCAGGCAGAAAGTCCAGAAAATTTGCTGAATGCAAATATTAGTGTTTCATACAGTAAAACGTATCAGATATTGTTAGTGAAAGTGCTTTTTTGCATTTTTTACACACAAACGGCACTTTCACTGATGATATTTTTGTGATACGTTTTACTGTTTTGAAACATTTATATTTGGGTTCAGCGAAGTCTTCCGAGTATAATAGTACCCCACATGTACAGGTTTTATAGTGTTTTTGAAAGTTACATGGTCAAATATAAGGATTGCTTTTCTGTTTTTTTACATTGAAATTTCCCAGGCTGGTTATGTTGCCTTTGAGAGCGTATGGTAACCCAGGAATGAGAATTACCCCCACGATGGCATACCATTTGCAAAAGAAGACAACCTAAGGTATTGCAAATGGGGTATGTTCAGTATTTTTTTGGAGCCACTTAGTCACGAACACTGGCCAAAGTTAGCGTTCATAATTGTTTTTTGCATTTTTAACACACAAACAAATATAAATGACTTTATGTCAGTGTTTGTGACTAAGTGGCTACTATAAAAGACTGGGCAAACTCCATATTGAATACCCTGGGTTGTCTACTTTTGCAAATGGTGTGCCATCATGGGGCTAATTCTAATTCCTGGGCTAAGATACGATCTCAAAGGCAGCATAACAAGTCTGGCAAATTTCAATGTGTATAAACTGAAAAATTAAACATGCTAGGTTTGGCACTGTAACTTCCCAAAACATCATAAAACCTGTACATGGGGGTTACTGTTGCTGAATAGAAATAAGTGCATTTTATTGCAGTAAAAGCTAACAGTTAAAATGCCACGCAGAAATAAAACAATTTTTAAAAATCTTAATTTCTCACACTTTTTTATATTTTAGTCATAATAATTCATGTTTCATATATGAATAGTTCATGTGTAATGAAAGCCCTGTTTCTCCTTAACAAAATTATATACAATATGTGTGGGTGCACTTAATATGAGGTGAAATACGGTTGAACAGACATATAGTGCAAATTCCAGTTTTTGCTTACATTTTGTTTTGATCACAATGTGTACAACTGGCTCAGTCCTTAAAAGAGCACTATAGGGTCAGGAACACAAACATGTATTCTTGAACCCATAGGGTTAAAACCACCATCTAGCCACCCTGGTCCACTCATGCCTCCCTGAATATAGTAAATCTTACTTGTGTTCAAGTCTGGAGCTGCTTGCTTTGTGCCTGTTTCCTCTAGACCTGCCCACTGCCTGCTGACATCAGCAGAAGTTGTAGCCTGATCCAATCACAATGCTTCCCCATACGATTGGCTGAGACAGACAAAGATTCAGATCAGGGGCAGAGCCAGCACAATTCAAACACAGCCCTGGCCAATCAGCATCTCCTCATAGAGATGAATTGAATCAGTGAATCACTATGAGGAAGGTTCAGTGTCAGCATGCAGAGGGTGGGGACTCTGAATGTTTGGATGCATTTTAGGCAGCCATAACCCAGGAAGGATCTTTAACAGCTATCTGAGGAGTGGCCAGTGAAATTATCACTAGGCTGTAATGTAAACACTGCTTTTTCTCTGAAAAGACAGTGTTTACAGCAAAAAGCCTGAAGGTAATGATTCTACTCACTAGAACAAATTCAATAAGTTGTAGTTATTCTGGTGACTATAGTGTCCCTTTAAGGGGTTAAACAGCTTAATTCCACAAACTTAGCCACGTCTCCCCTTTTCACAAAACATCTTCCTTACTGGAATGTAAATAGTTTAGTTTAGCCAATGAGAGATCATTGTAAGCTGTGCTGCTGACTTGACTCCAGGAACAGCCAACCAATGCCCTATTCTTATTACGATAGTATTTTATTTCAACGCTGTTCTAAGGGGAAAAGAGACATATAAGAAGAAGACAGTGATTGTGGGGCTGAGCTGAGTATATACTCAGAGTATGTCTAATAAGGCAGTTGCGTTGGGACCAAAGCTTTATTGTGATTTGACACTTTTGTCATGCGTTCATTCCACCACAATTTCCCTCTTTCTATTTAAGCGCACTCATACATATATTATTTTATAAAAGAAGAAATATGGCTTTCTTTCTCTACCCCTAATCCAACTCAATATCCACTGTCTAATCCAAATTGTATTCCTACGCATAATCCAACCCTAATCCCACCCATAATTGTACTCACAATCCTACCCATAATTCTACTCACAATCCTACCTATAAACCTAGTCCTAATCCCACCCTCTAATCAAGAAGTTCAGCAATATAGCTGTGGATGTCTCTATATTAAAAATACAGAAAGATAAGTCCTCACTCCCATCACTCCTGGGCGGCAGCAACGACCACAGTACACATCAGCCGCAATACATACAGTAAAAACAAAAGAAAAAGTTACCTGCGCTCTCTCCTTAATCCCTATGTATATTTAAACAAATGGAGGTCATTTAGTTACTCCAATGGCCATTGGAAGGAATGCCCACCTGCCAACATCAAGGCAGACCCTCTCTAAGCGGGTCCTACACTGACCCTTCACCTTGCTTCCTTGAGCTTCTGCCAGAGATATGAGACAGAGAGGGGTATTTTTTATATACACCCCTATATACGTATTAACCCTTAATAGGGAAAACGTGGGATGGGCGGCAGCATTGTAACAAGGCTGTGTGATACAAAAAGTGAATACAAATACAAAAAGATAAGTCCTGCGCTCACTCCCATCACTCCTGGGCGGCAGCAAAATGGCCATTGGAGTAACTAAATGACCTCCATTTGTTTAAATATACATAGGGATTCAGAAGAGAGCACAGGTAACTTTTTCTTATGTCTCTAGATTAATCTTGTACCCAAGGAGGTAAATAGGTCCTACAAGGGAGGTATAGAGAAGATAGCATTGTGCAGCAGTGTGACCAAATCATTCTATCTGTAGTATTTTCAGCTATGAGGTTTATTTTTGTTTACAGTTTTTGGGGGGATAAACCATTAGCAGATAGCTAATTGAATACCAGCAGAATGTAAGGTAATATATATTTTTTTTTACTTATTTATTTAATTTGAATGGGAGAGCACAGCCACTATTTTATTTATCATTAGTATTCTGTGTAACTAAACAATTTATTTTTGTCAACTGTATATTAAATGCCTTATTTCCCTTCTTGCTTTAGTTTTATTTGTTTTTTTTAACTTGATGCAGACTTTTTTTGGGTGATGCAAGTTTTCAGGGGAACAATTAGACTTTAATTGTAAATGTCAAGGGGCTGTGTTTACCAATAGTTTGTCATCCCAAGTAGGTTTCTAAGCATTTACCTCTCATAATCAGTAAAAAAGACTCAACTATTATTTTCTGTAGATTAATCCATTAGCATCAACATTAAAATCAGGGAACAGTTTGACCCAAAATGGTGTTTATAATGCCTCAAGCAGGGTTGCCATCATATATTCTACAGAGCTTAAAACATGGAGTACGAGGCACTCCAGTGTATGTGTGTTTGTAAGGGATATAGTGAGTGTATGGTGGCTGCAGTGTGTATTTATAGTAGATACAGAGTGTGTATGTGTATAGTGGATGCAGTCGCTGTATAGTGAGTGCAGTGCGTGTGTAGTGCATGCAGTGTGTGTTTACTGGGTACAGTTTGTGTGTAAAGTGGATTCAGTGTGTGTATAGTGGATGCAGTTTGTATATATTGTGGGTGTAGAGTGTGTCTAGTGGATGTAGTGTGTGTAGTGGATATAGTGTGTGTTTGTGTAGTGGATGCAGTGTGTGTATAAATGTGTGGGGTTGGTTAGGGGCTGTGTACTGTGGTCAATGAGTTTTTTTTGTTTTGTTTAGTTTTAAGTTGTTTTCCCCCTCCCTGCCTCTTCCATGTGGCCATTGAGCTTGGATACTAGATTCTGGTGTTCTGGTGGCACTGGGCAAGCTCCTAGCTTGCTGTCTTAAGTAGTGAGGGCACATATGTGTGTGTAAGGGATGTTGTGTGTGTGTGTATATGGTGGATGCTCTGTGGACAGTGAGTAGTTATATTGTTTTTTTCTTTTTTTTTTTTATATTAAGTTTATTCCCCCTTTCTTGCCTCATACCTGTGGCCATGGAGGGGGGACACGACATTCCTTGGGGTCTGGTGGCACTGTGCAAGCTCCGAGCTTGCTGTCTTGAATGGTGAACGGGGTCCCAAGATACTCCAGCTTCCACCTCTGGCAGGTTCTCTCCCTTTCCTGCTAGCCTGTACTGTGCTGTGTCTGAGCATTGCAACACTTTGACAGCTGGACCAACTCATCACTATTGAAGCCAGCAGTGGTCCAGAGAAATATATGGCCTAGGACCGATATACAGCTTTACTGGTTGTACCTACTGATGTGGGCCATGGCATTGAGCATTGCTCATAATCAGTTTGAATGAAAACTTCCTCTGCAACACAAGTTAGTGTTGATGCATTAAAACACAGGAGATATTGAGAAGATGTATAGTAAGTCTTCAGATAAGATTTAAGTGGTGTGCAAAGTGGTACTGAAATACATTTCTTTTTCTTAGGTTCCATAATGAGCTCTTCTCCAGTACAGACTTTTCAGGGAAACCTACCTCCTGATTCAACAGAACAAAAAGGTCCAACACCAAGTTCTGCTGTTGGGGACATTATGTTAAATTCTGTGACTTATCTTGATAAGATTCAGAAAATATCAGAAGATGGAAATCAAGAGGTTGATGATGAGATTGTTGATGCCATGCAAGACAGCGCCTCTTGTAAGTACATGTCCATAATGTGGTCTCTTGACAGACCTCTGCTGTTCAAGCCTGAGGGAATATTTTTATATGTTTCACCTGGACCAGATACAATGTCACTATGATTACAATTTATTTACAAATACCTTTTATGTAAGCAAGAATATTTTTAGGAAATCCTTTACATTGAAAGTGTGGGTATTTTTGGTTAAAGAAACACTCCAAGCAACATAACCACTACAGTCCACTGGTGGGGTCTGCCAGGGACCAGTCTGAGCCTCAGCTGAAGCTGGATGTCTCAGAACATAGCTAACCCCAGACTTAGTTGACTTAGTTGGCACTACTAGCCATTATTTAACAGTTTGATTACTTCCAATAGGGTTGGTACCAAGATAGTCCTGACATAACTACTACAGTGGGCTGTAGTGGTTATGGTGCTTGAAATGGTCCTTTAAGCCAAATGGTGGTCACATAATCATTTTCAGCATTTTTGATTTTCAGTATACATTTTGTCTACTCATTATTGTAATATGTATTAGTAGAAATTATGCATTTTTGTTTAGAAACTGTAGTTTTTGTTAAATTTGTTTTTCAGAAATTATGAAATAAAAACAGAGTGCAGCATTGGAGCTCTGGGTCCCAAAGAACATAGATAGAAATAAAAATCAATGGTTTTAGATATATATTTTAGGATCACATTATAGGAAGGCAATTAATCATTCTTTGTTGAAATGTCCTCATGTTATCCAAACCTGGAATGATCTCTTCCCAAAGTGTACATATATTAACATTCCCAGAAGTGCAATTAAATTATGCATGAAAATATTTAGCTTTCACCAACCCCCGAATAAACTCATTTTAAAATTAACCCTTTCTTTTTAATAAGCTCATGATTGTTTTTATCTAATTAATTGATTTCTTTGAAGATGTAATCCTGCATCTCATTGCTAGTTTGATTTACAATTATAAGAAGAAGAAAAATCTGAACTCATGTTTTTCACGTTTAATAATCTAATCTTTAGTGGAAAAAATCATGTAATTTCACACCAGATAAAAGACTTGTAGACACCCCTTGTATCTGTAACCATCTGTTCCCTCCAGTTTATTATAACATCACATTTGGAATTTTCTTAAAGATGAATCCTAAAGTGTGAAGAGAAAACAGGGTATTTTTCAATTAATGGCATCAATGCACATAGTTCCACTGTGAAATCCTTTTGATAGTTTTTCTGAGGATAGCTCATTACAAACTGAGTGCATCAATTGGCAAAATATAGCAACTATTCTGCGTTAAGCTTCAACACTCCAGTAGCTCTGAAACCAATCAATGTACCTGCACAGAATAAAAATAGGTGTCATTTATTTGTCTTTATATTTTGGGGTACACACAATGTTCATTACTATGTTGGGTTCATATAGGTTCATCATTTGCACATAAGAAATATCATGCAGTTTCTTGGAATGTCACATTGACATTCTGTTAGGGAAAACTGTGGATCATGCTGAGTGCTAAGTGTTCCTTATCAGCGGCATTGTTCTTCACAGTGTTCTTTGGAATTCCCCCGCTAAAAAGGCATTTTAAATGCTGTGGGGAATAAAACTGCTCTGCATTACTAAATGCCAAAGAAGGGACTAAGTGGGCTCAAGAGGTGATAATTCTTGGGCTAAAGTCTAAGAATAATGAAAAATCTCTCAGTTCTTCACAGGGTGATTGATGAGTCAAAGAGACACTTCAGGCAGCCACATATCTCAACAATGCAGTAAAAACAAGTCAGACTTATGTTTCCAATTTAAGGAACACTATCGTGTTTGGAAAATAAATTTATCTTTAACACTATAGTGACCTGGTAACTCATTAGGGTACTGGCCCCCGATGTGTGAAAGAGAAATTTGATTTACTTACCTTTTCTCCCTCACCATGGTGTTCTCCCTGTGGCCAGCCCGGCATTCTTGGCTAAAATAGGAAATCATTGAGGGGCTAGTGTGCATGTGCTGCAAAACACCCCGCTGCGACAAGTTTCACTTGGCTATATTGGTAGAAGTGCCTCTAATGCCTGTCAGAGAGTGAGCTGGGCTATGGAGGCATTGGAACTGATGAGGGCAGTGAAATGAGAAAAGCATCACCCAGGAACATGGTAAGCTTTTCTAAAGAGGGTGTTTTTAGTGACTTCTTAAAGAACTAGAGGCTAGGACATAGTCTGATGGCACAAGGCGCAGAAGCTAGATTTTACATGTTGAGTGAGGGGCACATTGACAGTGCAGGTTAGAAGTTGGTGGTCAGACTGTGGGAAAGGTGTGTTAGAGACAGAGCAAAGGTTGTAGAAAACAAGGTTTAGTGTATTGCCTGCTATGTGTGTAGAAGTGTTGGTCAATTAAGTAAGGCCAATGGAGGAGGGGATAGATAGAAGAAAAAGAAAAAAAGGTGTGTCAGCGCTTCTAGTGTGCAAAATAACAAGAGGTGTAAAACAAGGAGTATCCCCCTACACCCTAAAATCAATAAAGTTAAAACCAGAAAGACAGTTACCCTCTGTGAACATAAAATATACCTACTGATGGTAGCATGTAATTGATAAAAACGGGACATATGCATGTAATCTAAAAAATATTAAAACAAGAAAACATAGTGCAGACTTTATAAAAAGGTGCTCTAAAAAGAGTATTGACAGTAACACACTTGATCCAGGGCCCTCCCAGGCTCTGTATGTAAGGCTTCCGGTTGCCTATACAGGCTGCAGATGATAACTGGATCAGGACACAGCAGTATTCACAAAGGACTTGGTGAAGTATTGTTCCAAAATGTATTTTAAATCTATATTTAATGTACATAAAATATACAGGGACTGGGAATAAAAGGTAAAGCAGTAGAAAAGGGCCAAAATGGCAAAGATCACCACATTATATACAGTGCCTTGCAAAAGTATTCACCCCCTTGACTTTTTACCTATTTTGTTACATTACAGTCTTAAGTTTAATGTTTTATTAATCTGAATTTTATGTGATGGATCAGAACACAATAGTCTAAGTTGGTGAAGTGAAATGAGAAAAATATATACATAAAACTTTTTTTTGGAAATAGAAAACAGAAAATTGGCATGTGTGTATGTATTCACCCCCTTTGTTATAAAGCCCATAAAAAGGTCTGGTGCAATCAATTACCTTCAGAAGTCACATAATTAATGAAATGATGTCCACCTGTGTGCAATCTAAGTGTTACATGATCTGTCATTACATATACACACCTTTTTTGAAAGGCCCCAGAGACTGCAACACCTAAGCAAGAGGCACCACTAACCAAACACTGCCATGAAGACCAAGGAACTCTCCAAACAAGTAAAGGATAATGTTGTGGAGAAGTACAACTCATGGTTAGGTTAAATAAAAATATCCAAATCTTTGATGATCCCCAGAAGTACCATCAAATCTATCATAACCAAATGGAAAGAACATGGCACAACAGCAAACCTGCCAAGAGACGGCCGCCCACCAAAACTCACAGACCGGGCAAGGAGGGCATTAATCAGAGAGGCAGCACAGAGACCTAAGGTAACCCTGGAGGAGCTGTAGAGTTCCACAGCAGAGACTGGAGTATCTGTACATAGGACGACAATAAGCCGTATGCTCCATTGAATTGGACTTTATGGCAGAATGGCCAGAAGAAAGCCATTACTTTCAGCAAAAAACAAAATGGCATGTTTTGAGTTTGCGAAAAGGCATGTGGGAGACTCCCAAAATGTATGGAGGAAGGTGTTCTGGTCTGATGAGACTAAAATTGAACCTTTCGGCCATCAAAGAAAATGCTATGTCTGGCGCAAACCCAACACATCACATCACCCAAAGAACACCATCCCCACAGTGAAACATGGTGGTGGCAGCATCATGCTGTGGGGATGTTTTTCAGCAGTCGGGTCTGGAAAAATGGTCAGAGTTGAGGAAAAGATGGATGGTGATAAATACAGGGATAATCTTGAGCAAAACCTGTACCACTCTGTGCGTGATTTGAGGCTAGGACAGTGGTTCACCTTCCAGCAGGACAATGACCCCAAACACACTGCTAAAGCAACACTTGAGTGGCTTAAGGGGAAACATGTAAATATGTTGGAATGGCCTAGTTAAAGCCCAGGCCTCAATCCAATAGAGACATAGTCTATGTGGTGAGACTTAAAGATTGCTGTTCACAAGTGCAAACCATCCAACTTGAAGGAGCTGGAGCAGTTTTGTAAGGAGGAATGGGCAAGTGTCCCAGTGGTAAGATGTGGCAAGCTCATAGAGACTTATCCAAAGTGACTTGGAGCTGTGATTGTCGCAAAAGGTGGCTCTACAAAGTATTGACTTTACGGGGGTGAATAGTTATGCACATTTACTTTTTCTGTTATTTTGTCCTATTTGTTGTTTGCTTCACAATAAAAAAAAAAAAAAAGTTGTAGGCATGTTCTGTAAATTAAATGATGCAAATTATCAAATAATCCATGTTAATTCCACGCTGTGAGGCAACAAAACACGAAAAATGCCAAGGGGGGTGAATACTGTTGCAAGGCACTGTATGCAGTCCACAAGTCTATTATGGAGTCTTTCTCAGTGCTATCAATTACATGCATATGTCCTGCTACCATCAGTAGGTATATTTTATGTTCACAGAGGGAAACTGTCTTTCTGGTTTTAATTTTAAAGCCAGATAGAAGCCTAGATGCAATTGAGTTGTTAGGTAAAAGGGATGTTGAATTCATCGAGGATGAGGGAAGGAATGTCAGAAGAGAGAAATTGAGGAAGCCAACAATAAAATTGGCAGAGGAAGCGTAAAGGAGAACCGGGAGGGTGTTGGTAACAGTAACATGGGCTGATGTATGGAGATGTGAAATTAAATGTGAATGACAGTAAACTTTTTGATATTACAGATTGAGATTGCATTCCAAAGGGCACAGTGGAAGGAATGTGATAAGGTTAAGTGACAGGGTATATATATAACAGATTTTAAGTTGTTCTGGTGGAGCTGTGAGTAGGGTGGGAAGCATAGGGGTCAGGATTAGGAGACACATCTCCAGCTGCTTAAAGCAAAGGGATGGCCAGAGAAAGAAGGTGGGAATGGGACTTAAATATATGTGTGGGACTTTTAGTTTTAGAAGTGGGAGGACAAGCAGATGTGTGAAAGAATAACATGGGATGAAACAAGGGATGAAGGCAGTATAAAAAGAGCAATGCAGATTGAGTTACATGGAGATGGTGGGTGGAAGGAAAGGTGAACTTTTTGAAAAAACAGACAAAAAGGAAAGGGAAAATGTAAGAATGAGAACATTAGATAATTACCTTTATAAAGTAATAAAGGAAGAAGTGTCAGGTAGTGTGGCAGTTTAACAGCAAGGTAGGAATAGTTGTCTGCAGAGAGGAGCTAGCAGCTGATGACCATGAGTGAGTAATTGTTATATATATATATATATATATTATAAACAGGACCTAGGGGTGGGTTATGGGAGGCGAAAGAGAGTGTGTTGTTGCCAGAATTGTTTGCAAGAGTTGCAAGAGACTGCGGCTCTAAAAGAGAAGAGGTTAAAAGGTGAAATAGGTGCTATTTGGCTCATAGAGTTTACAAGGAACAGGTAAAAGTCTGATGACACTAGGGGTAAAATATTCTGTAAGCATACGACATATAATTCTGGTATAAAAAAAAATGTAAAAAATTAAAACAGAAGAAATATCAATTGGACAAAAGGGAACACAGCAGATGTAGGTGGGGTGATGAGTAGATGAAGTATCCCAGGTGTACTTTGTAACTCTTACGGTAAGGCAGTCTGTAAAATGCTTATGTGCTGTAGTCTTGATGACTTAAGTTCTCAGGAGCCCTTCTGCGAGTGTGTTGTTGCCAGGTTTGTCAGCAAGCGACTGAGGCTTGCAGTTCTTAGTCAATCAAACATAAACAAAAATGAACACAAACAGTCTAGACATGAAATGAATTGTACTTTAAAAGATATGAATAATTGTGTACCCACCATGAGACAAGTAGTGTGCCCGGGTCACTGACAGTCACTACGACATAGACCGCAATTGATTGACATATAAATGCTTTTAAACTTTTTACAGGTGATCGTAAAAATAAAAGAAGAATTAGAACCACATTCACCATTGATCAGCTGAACGAGTTGGAAAGAATATTTCAAGTAACACATTACCCAGATGTGCAGACACGAGACCAGTTGGCGGCAAAAATCAAGCTCCCCGAAACACGTGTGCAGGTATGTCTGCAAAGTGTGATAAATAATTAGCTAATAAAGTAACATCATATGTGCCCATATGTCTTTTGCATTTGCATCATTTTAAACTTGCATTTCCTGGCAATAAATGACATTCAATATTTTTCAGCTCTCTCAATAAATATATAGATTAAATAAAAAGCATTCTACAAAGTTTGTTAGAATAATCAGCATTTTATGCCACTGATTTTGCAATGTAGCAATCATGCAATGGGTTACTTATAATGTGACATATTTGAGAATAAAAATAGCTATTTACAAGTGTGATAATCTGTACTGTTTACAAACTGTCATAACTGTCATTCACAGAATAAGAATGATTTTGTGAAAGAAAAAAACATTCTCAATTATTTTAGGATAAGCATAAATATAATAAAGATAGGAATAAACCACGCACTGTATGTTACGGAAAAATAATGAGACTTATGGAGATTTTTTATAAACACAGTATCATTAGGAATACTATTACTTTTAAATCAAACTATTTACCATGCTGTGTATTGCTTCATTAGATGTTAAATGGATTATTTCTACAATGGGAATTAAAATCATAGGGAATGCATTATACAAACTGGAATTATTACATTGTTTAAAATAAATTTGCATACCTCACAACATTTAAAATGAACAAAGAGGTATACTTTCATTTTAGGGGGGTGAGTGGGGCGATGACAAGGGGCAGGGCTGTTCTGAGAAATTTGGGTGACTTTCTAATAACAATTTATACAAATATATAATTTAGAGCAAGAACAATGTATCTTACTTATACAGACTTATATCTGAGCACATTTATTGTAGTTTACTGGGGGAATTATTGCTGTGGGGTTCTGTTATACACTCAGACACATCAACAATATGTCTACAAAAAATATCCTACAAAAAAAGAGATTTTAGGAGAGAAAAAAGGGACGTAGGGATTTTGGTTCAAAGTAGGGACTATTGGGAGGTGTGAATTTGAGATAAAAAATTTTGGATCATGTTATTATGGTTACTACTAGGACATCTGTCTATCTCTAGATTAAGTTATTTTGAGGGAAGCTCTACTTATTAAAATAATATCTCCATGGAATGCCAGTGAGCCTAAAACAACTCAGACAAAAGAAAAAAAAGGAATATTTTTTATTAAGTTCTTTAAGGTTATTATTATTATTGGTATTTATATTGTAAATATTGTAATATTGTAAAACGCTGCAGAATTTGACGGCGTTCTATAAGTATCATAATAATAATAATAATAATAATAATAATAATAATATATAGTGCCAACTTATTCTGCAGCACTTTACAATATTACTTAAGGGGGATGTAAGAATTAATGAGACAATTACAAAATGTTAGAAGAACAACAGATAAATGAGGACCCTGCTCAAACAAGCTTACAGTCTAGAGGAGTGAAGTATAAAGACACAATAGGAAGGGCATAGGGATTGCAAACAACAAGGTAGAAAAGTAGCAGAACTGGGAGGTGAGAGGTTGCAACATATCCATACGAAATCGTGTCATATTTAGACAGAGATAACTGGTATATCCTGGCAGATCAGGGGCAGAGCCAGCACAAGCTAAACACAGCCCTGTCCAATCTGCATTTCCTCATAGAAATGCATTGAAGCAATGAATCTCTATGAGGAAAGTTCAGTGTCTTCATGCAGAGGGTGAAGATACTGAATACCAGTGCTGCACACTGTGTAGCACTGCCCTAGGAAGCACATCTAGTAGCCATATGAGGAGTGGCCAGCGGAGATATCCCTAGGCTGTAATGTCAACACTGCATTGTCTCTAAAAACACAGTATTTACGCAAAAAAAGCCTGAAGGGAATGATTATACTCAGCAGAACAAATACAAATGTTACCGCTCACTGACGAGATCCAAAGAAGGCCAAAATGTTTGTCTGGGGTTGCTGTACCTCTCTTGCTGAGAGAATTTGCCAACATTTCAATCTGGACTGCCTTTATGGGTGGGGTCGTTGAATATGTAAATATTCTAATATCCTACCCAGCCCACACTCACAGGCAGAGGGGACAATTCTCAGGCTAGAGAAGTGATACCTGACATTTAGAGCTCTCTGACTGAGCTTGCATAGCATAAACACATACAAGACTGTTGCTTAGAAAGACAGGTTTTGCCCTAAGAGAGGTTATCCACATTTGAATTCTTTTAAAACGCAAGCCCTCATCTTAAACAGTAATTTCTTTATCTTAACAAGCCTGTTTTTCCTTTTCTTCATTTGCTTTCTAAAAAATGATGTTTTTTTTTTTTTTTGTCCTTTTCTATTCTCTGTTAACATACCATTTTATTTCCAACTAATATCTAGTTCAGGGATAGGCAACCATTTAGTAGTACTGTGGTAAAACACAATATCAAAGTCCCTCAACCTGCCTGTTTATTTTTATTTTTTTAAATAGAGCTCTTAAAGGGACACTAGAATCATTCCCTTCTAGCTTTTTGCAGTAAACACTGTCTTTTCAGAGAAAATGCAATGTTTACATTACAGCCTATTGATAACTCCAGTGGCCACTCCTCGGATGGCTGCTAGAGGTGCTTCCTGAAGCAGTGCTGCTCCATTCAGTGTCTCCACCCTCTGCATGCAGACACTGAACTTTCCTCATAGAGATGCCTTGATTCAATTCATCTCTATGAGGAGATGCTGATTGGCAAGGGCTGTGTTTGACTTGTGTTGGCTCTGCTCCTGATCTTCCTTCTTGACAGTCTCAGCCAATCCTATGGGGAAGCATTGAAATTGTCTCAGATCACCACCTTTGATGATGCAGACAGCAGGCAGGTCAGAGGCAGACGGGGACAGAGCCAGCAGTTGCAGACTTGAATACAAGTAAGATTTTACTATATTTAGGGAGGCAAGAGGGGGCCAGGGGGGGCTAGATGGTGGCTTTAACACTATAGACACTATACACTATAGAGTCAGGAATACATGTTTGTGTATTTGACCCTATAGTGCTCCTAATATTAATATTGCCATTTTGATTTTGTGTTATTGGTGATATTCTATTTTTGTAATATTGTATTTTTGTGCTATTGTGTATGATACCTATGCATCTGGGCTCTGTATAGGGGCTGCTTGTGGAATTGTGTGTTTGGATGATATGTCACATTGTGTGTTTGGTGGTGTGCTTATGTATGGGGCTGCTTATGGTACTGCATGTATTGTGGGGTTGTGTGGATTGTCAGTAGTGTTGTGTTTGTGGACACTGTGTGTCTGTTTGTGTGTAGGCCGCTTGTATTATTTGTGTGAGGGGGAGCTTCTACAGCTTTGTGTGTATCAATCAGTATTCATGGCTTCCCTGGGGTCCAGTGGGGACCAGGCTGGCCAGGTACAGGTCAAGGGCAGGAGCTGCTATAGCTGCTGCAGGCTGATTTACTCCGGTGTGGATTTCCATTTACAAGTGCTGGGAGGAAGTGATCTGAGATCACTTCCTCTAAGTGCTTCAATGCGTGAAATTAGGATTGTCTCTCACCACCTGCAATCTCCAATCAGCGCTCAGTTTGCTCTAGCTCTAGCAGTTATCTGAATTCCCACTGATACTCCTGATAGGCCACAGCCTGTTTGGTTTTAGCAGCCTTGAGGGCTGTGTAAAGTCACCTTACGTGCCATAGGTTGCTGACCACTTATCTAGTTAGTAGTACCCTTAAAGGGACACTGTAGTCATCAGAACAACTACAGCTTATTGAATTTGTTCTGGTGAGTAGAATCATTACCTTCAGGCTTTTTGCTGTAAACACTGTCTCTTCAGAGAAAATGCAGTGTTTACATTACAGCCTAGTGATAACTTCACTGTCCACTCCTCAGATGTCTGTTAGAGATCCTTCCTGGGTCATGACTGCCTAAAATGCATCCAAACATTCAGTATCTCCTCCCTCTACATGCAGACACTGAACTTTCTTCATAGAGATTCATTGATTCAATTCATCTCTATGAGGAGATGCTGAATGGCCAGGGCTGTGTTTGAATCATGCTGGCTCTGCCCCTGATCTGCCTTTTTGTTAGTCTCAGCCAATCCTATGGGGAAGCAATGTGGTTGGATCAGGCTACCACTTCTGATGATGTCAGCAGACTGTTTGTTTTACTGAGGCAAACAGCATGCAGAGTTCCAGCTTCAGGATGAATACAGTAAGATTTTGCTATATGTATAGAGGCATGAGGGGCCCGGGGGGGCTAGATGGTGGTTTAAACACTATAGGGTCAGGAATACATGTTTGTGCTCCTGACCCTATAGTGATCCTTTAAATATTTATATGATATTTTCAAGTATTATTCCTGTAGCAGGTTCATTAGTGGTTCATTAACACGGTTTTAGCCAGTGCCAAGTACAACAGTTTAACAGAGATGAAGAGAGTACATGAAAATATCAAATCACTTTCCCTGCAATTATTATTATTATTATGTTATTTATATAGCACCATCTAATTCTGCAGCGCTTTACAATGGCTGGACGAACAGATGTGTAGTTGTAACCAGACAAGTTGGACACACAGGAACAGAGAGGTTGAGGGCCCTGCTCAATGAGCTTACATGCTAGAGGGAGTGGGGTAAAATGACACAAAAAGGTAAGGATAGTATTAGACTAATGACAGTAATAGAGGACCACAAGCCTATTTCTGATGTACAGAACGGTGTCACAGACCACTACCATTTCCAAGTTGCAGAAGAGAGCCATAATCTTATTCATAATTATAGAATAGTGCCAGATTTCTTCATTTAAAAGAAGTTGCTGAGAACTTCAGAGAACTGTAGAACCTTCTTTCATAAGTGAAGGAGAGCAAGAAAACCTTTTTATTTATTCAGATAATTAGAGTATTCTAGGAGAACTATGACAGTTAGAATATTCTTTCTCTTGAATAAGAATAAAACCCTACTTTTAGCTTGCTGTTATTTTCATGTAAAATTTTAATTCCACATTCCACAGTGAGGGAATGTATTTGGCCACACCTTCACTGCTCCCTTCTTAAATATAAAATAATAAAAAATAATAAAAAGTCAATAAACAAGTTGCCTGGATGACTGTTATCCATGAATCAATTCATGTTCTTTTTTTTTAATTTGAGTAATTTGGTTATTTGGAACAAATCACTCAAAATTCAAATTAATGTGCATTCAGACAAAAACAAACAAACAAGTTTGCTGAAAATGAAATAAATGTTTTATCTGTGTGGAATGTCATCACGTGTGAATACAGTGTTCTATGTGGAATGTCATCACATGTGAATACAGTGTTCTATCAGTGTGGAGTGTCATCACGTGTGAATACAGTGTTCTGTCTGTGTGGAGTGTCATCATATGTGAATATAGTGCTCTATCTGAGTGAAATGTTATCACATGTGAATACAGTGTTCTGTCTGTGTGGAGTGTCATCATATGTGAATATAGTGCTCTATCTGTGTGGAATGTTATCACGTGTGAATACAGTGTTCTATTTGTGTGGAGGTTCATCACGTGTGACTACATGGCTTTAGCTGTGTAAAGTGCCAGCATGTGTGAATACAAGGTTCTATCTGTGTTGAGTATCTGCACATGTGAACACAGGGTTTTATTTTTGTGTGGAGTGCCAGCTTGCGCAAATACAGGACTCTATTTGTGCGGAGTGTCAGCATGTGCAAAAGCAGGGCTCCATCTGTGTGGAGTTCAGCAAGTGTGAATTTCAAGGCTTTACCTGAATGGATTGTCAACATGTAGAAATGCAAGGCTCTGTGTGTAGAGTGTCAGCACGTGTGAATGCAGTGCTGTGTGCAGTGTCATTTGATCACCACTAGTATTTGTCAATCTACCAGTCAGTTTTTAGAGATTGACGGTGGTTTCATCAAATGATCACTTTCATCATTTTTTATACACAGAGTGTACTTAACAACATGTTTAAAGCTACTTGAATGTGAGTTTATATACAATGTAAAATAAATAATATAAATTAATACACTTTGATATATCAAGAGTGTTTCTCTTGATTTTGTTTTATAGATTCAATGTCTCAGGAGGAAATAAGATTCTGAGAATTGTCAATTACTTGAAGCTAACTATATTTATATTACTTGTCAGTGTATCAACTACATAGATAATCTTTCTATTTCTCCTCTCACTTCTTAAAAAACAAAAATAAGATTTGGTTTCAAAACCGTCGGGCGAAATGGAGAAAATATGAAAAACTTGGCAATTTTGGGGGCCTTCAGCACCTGACAACAGTAGACATGATTCCTGCTCCAAAACCAGACCCCATGGTAAGATACTGGGCATTAGATATGACTTAACCTGGGTAGTCTACTGTAGTTCCTGCTAAACTAGATTTTCTATAATGTAAAACTAAGTTTTCCAGAGAACTATGGAATACATACAAATCAAGAGGTTAACATATATACTTGAGATGACTGCTTAATATTGTGTTTGCTTAATATGATAGAAATAAAGAGAGGACAGCTTAATATGGTACAAGCAAAGAAGCAAATAAGAACAACTACCCAGTCAATGAGTGTTTGAACATTCTAATTTTGTCTGAACTGGTTTCACATGTAGTTGAAGCAGGCCCAGTTAGGAAGATGTTCTAAAGGTTAGAGTACATAAGCTTAGGACCATACCAGCCCACCATGAACCTAGGTAATTTCCCAGGTTACATTATAACCTGGGTCAGGTGAAAACCTTTTGTACAAATTGTAGACACTGAGGGCCACCTTTATGCCATCATATGCTGGCAGCCACAATAAGGAGAGATTGGGACAGGGAGAAGGAGACAAGTCCTGGTTCATTAGCAAGAAGTAGGGGACAGGCTGGAGACCTAGCATTACCCCAGGAAGGCATCTGGGCAGACTGCATTGTCCAGTGCATCGTGTTTGTATGTATGGAACAGTGAATGTGTGTCTACAGAGTGTTTATGTCTATGTGAGTGTGTGTCTACATGGGTCAGTGAGTATGAGTGTGTGCATATGGGTCACTAAATGTGAGAGTATGTGTATGGATGTAACATACATGTTTATTATATATACATAACAAATTATATAATACACATGAATAAAACACAGAGATCACTATATACAGGTCAAAGTTTCAATCCTACAATTTAGACTTTTTTCAAGTCTTGATAAATATCCAACTTGTAGGACTGAAATATCGACCAAACTGATTCACTTATCTTACGTTGAATAAAGTCATTTAAGATATTATTATCCCAGTAAATGCCCTTTTTTCGTTCCTACATGTGAGTTACAGGAACATTATACATATAATGTAAACATTCCACTAAACATAGCTCATATTCCACACATGGTTATTCATTAAACTCCAAAATGTAGCTAATGAAAATCTGAAAGAAGTTATTTAGGGTATTATAACGGATTAAGTATTTAGATCTTCATATGCAAAATTTCGGAGTATAGCAAAGTATCACACCTGTGACCCATTCTTGTTAGTATACAGGGAGTGCAGAATTATTAGGCAAATGAGTATTTTGACCACATCATCCTCTTTATGCATGTTGTCTTACTCCAAGCTGTATAGGCTCGAAAGCCTACTACCAATTAAGCATATTAGGTGATGTGCATCTCTGTAATGAGAAGGGTGTGGTCTAATGACATCAACACCCTATATCAGGTGTGCATAATTATTAGGCAACTTCCTTTCCTTTGGCAAAATGGGTCAAAAGAAGGACTTGACAGGCTCAGAAAAGTCAAAAATAGTGAGATATCTTGCAGAGGGATGCAGCACTCTTAAAATTGCAAAGCTTCTGAAGCGTGATCATCGAACAATCAAGCGTTTCATTCAAAATAGTCAACAGGGTCGCAAGAAGCGTGTGGAAAAACCAAGGCACAAAATAACTGCCCATGAACTGAGAAAAGTCAAGCGTGCAGCTGCCACGATGCCACTTGCCACCAGTTTGGCCATATTTCAGAGCTGCAACATCACTGGAGTGCCCAAAAGCACAAGGTGTGCAATACTCAGAGACATGGCCAAGGTAAGAAAGGCTGAAAGACGACCACCACTGAACAAGACACACAAGCTGAAACGTCAAGACTGGGCCAAGAAATATCTCAAGACTGATTTTTCTAAGGTTTTATGGACTGATGAAATGAGAGTGAGTCTTGATGGGCCAGATGGATGGGCCCGTGGCTGGATTGGTAAAGGGCAGAGAGCTCCAGTCCGACTCAGACGCCAGCAAGGTGGAGGTGGAGTACTGGTTTGGGCTGGTATCATCAAAGATGAGCTTGTGGGGCCTTTTCGGGTTGAGGATGGAGTCAAGCTCAACTCCCAGTCCTACTGCCAGTTCCTGGAAGACACCTTCTTCAAGCAGTGGTACAGGAAGAAGTCTGCATCCTTCAAAAAAACATGATTTTCATGCAGGACAATGCTCCATCACACGCGTCCAAGTACTCCACAGCGTGGCTGGCAAGAAAGGGTATAAAAGAAGAAAATCTAATGACATGGCCTCCTTGTTCACCTGATCTGAACCCCATTGAGAACCTGTGGTCCATCATCAAATGTGAGATTTACAAGGAGGGAAAACAGTACACCTCTCTGAACAGTGTCTGGGAGGCTGTGGTTGCTGCTGCACGCAATGTTGATGGTGAACAGATCAAAACACTGACAGAATCCATGGATGGCAGGCTTTTGAGTGTCCTTGCAAAGAAAGGTGGCTATATTGGTCACTGATTTGTTTTTGTTTTGTTTTTGAATGTCAGAAATGTATATTTGTGAATGTTGAGATGTTATATTGGTTTCACTGGTAATAATAAATAATTGAAATGGGTATATATTTGTTTTTTGTTAAGTTGCCTAATAATTATGCACAGTAATAGTCACCTGCACACACAGATATCCCCCTAACATAGCTATAACTAAAAACAAACTAAAAACTACTTCCAAAAATATTCAGCTTTGATATTAATGAGTTTTTTGGGTTCATTGAGAACATGGTTGTTGTTCAATAATAAAATTAATCCTCAAAAATACAACTTGCCTAATAATTCTGCACTCCCTGTAGCTCTGGTGTCGAACTCCAAAACGTAATTGGATTATGATGTCATTAGCTAAATCGTTTTTATAAATTTAAGAGTGTAAACAAGATTAATATAGTTTATAGGTGATTTTCAATGTTTTATTCAATGGTATATCCAGATAAATGACAGCTCCCCTTTAAGACTGTTTGCCCATCTATCTGTCCCTATTTTCATTGGGATGCTCTCCCAAATAAAAACAGCACAGCTTCCTGCAAATAAACTTCCTTCTATTCATGCCCTCTATTTCTTCTATTCCTGTGTCTGCATCTCTCTCATCCATCTTCTCTCTGCACAAACGAGTCAAACCTCACTCATATTCAATGCTGTTACTCCAGCCTTGCAGACAGTCCATTTAACTCACATATTTACACTGTTTAAAAGTAAAATAGAATTGCAACACAAAAAAAACCAAAGTAAAATAGTTTGATGGAATAATAGAGTACATTTACTCAAACATGTTACTTTGCAGTCCTTGAAAAGACTTAAAATTAACCAATGGCCCTCTTTAAAGTTCAGTTGTTTTTATAATTAAAAGTTAGTAGAGTGCAGGTTGACCATGCATTAGCACACAAAGAAATCCGAGGCATTCTGGCATCTTAGCCATTTATACTTCTATCTAAAGTGCAAACAATAACCAGAAACGTACTTGCATTTTTTTATGTATTTTGCCAGAGTTGACCAAAACAGTTAGTCAAGTAGACCACCAGCTCCAACTATACCCCATGATCCTGAGCACAGTTAGATAGTGTATAAAGCCAGGTAGTGCAGGTTCAGCAACAGCTGGAGGACTACATATTGATTGCTTGTTGTGGTACAGACCTAAATGTTTACTCAACCAATCTGAAACATCTTACTAGACATCTTTCTCCTGCTAAATTAATATTTCTTGCTTTAGATAATTCTCCTGCTGAATTAATATGTCTTGCTTTCCCCACAACAGGATTTCACTTTGCAGCCAAGGAAGTCAACCAGTATAGACTCACCTCTACGATATTACTCACCCTTTCAAGGTCGCTTGATACCAACCATAATAAATGTAAGGCCACCTCAGACACTGCATGTTCCTCTGCAGATGCCTCCTTACTATTTTCATTTTCCTCCCAGTATAGAATACAGCAGTGCTTTAGCTACCCCAACATAATATAAATGAATACAAATGTTAACTTTTAACTTTCTTTTATATGGTCATACCTATCCTGATGGAATCTACAATATCGCCTAGGGTTGGCTCAGCACAGTTTGCTTATAGATGGATTTAAATTGTGCACCAGATGGAAGCTGCATTTGATTAACAGAAGAAATATCTCTGAAAATTACAACAAGAGTTTAATTGTTTCCCCCTAGAGGATGAGAATAGTTTGGTTGTCACATAGAGTCATTCATCTGTTGCTTAAAATTTGCAAAGAAACAATCAATGCCTCAGCCAAGAACATAAGAACAATTAAAATATCTCATCACTTATTTATGACGCAACTTATTCGCAGCTTAAAGTGGGAAAAGTAAGAGCAGATGTTTCTGAAGTCCATTTAACTTGTATTCACGGGACCGCTTAAGAAGAGTAATCGGGTTGTTGGCTTCAAGAATTGATGTGACTTGATAGTGGAAAACAAAACTCAGAGCTTGTACATTGAATAGACAATTGTCTGGCAGTCTCACAAAATGCTTTCAAGAGACAAATTTCTGAGAAACACTAAACCAATGTGTGACACAAGGATCCCATCTGCCATTGCTTTTTTTGGACTTGAAAACTATTTCGGTATTATGTCTTGATGCTATGAGACTAAATTTGGCTTCACAACCCTCAAACAAATGGGACAGAGAATACAGTTTACTTAAAGTATTTTATTACAGGTACCCAAAATTGATCATATTGTATCACTTGCACACATAAATAGAAACTGTAATGTAGACAAGGTTTCATTAAAATTAAAAGCAAACAGACAATATATATTGATAACCTTTATGCTGTAACATCATCAATAGTGTTGTATTAGCTGCAAAGCTCCTGTCCTATTCTGTTACAAATGTTAACATAAAATTCTCCTCCCCTGTTATGTAGCCAGGATGCCAGAATTTATGACTATGAATATGAAAAAGAGCAGTATATGCAACAATAGGGTCATAATTTGCAGTGGAGTGGAAAGTACCCTGAATGCACATCCATAAACTACATATCTAAGACGCTCACCTAAAGGAAGTTTGATGGTAAATATATAAAAAAAAAAAAACATATATATATATATATATATATATATATATATATATAATCCAAAGGTAATCCAAAGGTGCACTCATAGGTCTTTTTCCAAGTGATTCTTTTATTGTGATTTTTACATCAAAAAAGTATAATTGTCCCAATCGACATTTCGACCCCTAAGGGTCTTTTTCAAGATCAAACAGCCTCTATTAAGTAGACTCTTTCAAGTAGGAGTTAGAAAACCAGGAGTTGAAACTAACAAGGGGTTTAAACTATCAAGGTAACTGTTTTTATTTTACTGTTTAAAGGGGAAATGAGTGTTAGCAAGATTGCTGGTTTAACTCAATGCACATCTTGTTGCATGTATGGATGCCTGGATGTACCCATCCAGGGTCCATACCTCTGTGATGGTTGTGTGCGAGTGGCTTCTTTGGAAGCTCAGATTGGAGATCTTGAGAAGCAAATCGCAACATTGAGGGAGATTGATAATCTTGAGAGGAGTCTACTGCTCACTGAGCAGAGTTTAGTGGGGACAGGTAGTGGAGAGGGAGGAGATAAGACAGATGGGGAACAGGCATGTAGCTGGGTGACAGTGGGGCGAGGAAGCAGTGGGGGAGGGAAGAGGAAAGGGCTAGCTAGTCCTGATTTGGTGCAACCTAGCAGATTTGCCAGCTTGAGGGAAGATGTTGGGAGCATCAGCTCAGGAGTAGCTGTATTAGAGGAAGCTGTTACTTCTAACAGCCGAGCTAACAGCCCCCCTAGTACGGGTGGGGATCAAAATGTAAGGAAGGCAAGACAGGTTGTGGTGGTAGGGGACTCTATCATTAGGAGAGCAGATGGGGCAATCTGCTGCTCTGATCGGCTCAACCGGACAGTTTGCTGTCTCCCGGGTGCTCGGGTCCGGCATGTTGCTGACAGAGTGGATGGATTATTGGGAGGGGCTGGGGATGACCCAGCGGTCATGGTCTATGTTGGTACCAATGACAAAGTAAGAGGAAGATGGAAGGTCCTAAAGAATGATTTCAGGGAATTGGGTAGCAAACTTAAGAAAAGGACCTCCAAGGTGGTATTCTCTGAGATATTACCTGTGCCACGTGCTACAGTGGAAAGGCAGCGGGAGATTAGAGAGGTCAATGCGTGGCTTAAGTCTTGGTGCAGGAAGGAGGGTTTTGGGTTTTTAGAGCACTGGGCCGACTTTGCGATTGGGTACAACCTTTATAGTGGTGATGGATTGCACCTAAACGGGAGAGGGTCTGCAGTGCTGGGGGATAGGATGGCTAGAAGGTTGGAGGAGATTTTAAACTAGTAGTAGTACTACTACTAGTTTAAAATCTCCTCCAACCTTCTAGGGTCATAGCAATCTACAAAATGGAGATAGGACAGAAAGGAAATGGGCTTTAGCACAGTATAAGGGGGGTGGAAACGGGGGGAGGGGCAAGCTCAGAACAGAGAAGCTGTGTAATGTTGAAAATTCACAAAATATACAAGTGACGCATAATATTAAATGTATGCTTACTAATGCAAGGAGCCTAAATAACAAAATGGGGGAACTAGAGGCATTAGCATACACTAAACAATATGATATAATAGGCATAACTGAAACATGGTGGGATGAGACACATGACTGGGCAGCTAACTTAAATGGGTACATGTTATTTAGGAAGGATAGGAAAAACAAGAAGGGTGGTGGGGTATGTTTGTATGTCAAACATGATTTAAAGCCAAATGTTAAGCAAATGGAATGCGAGGAGGATAATGTGGAAGCTTTATGGGTAAATATCTGCTTGGGGGAAAAGAAGGGAAACCAACTATTGGTTGGGATATGTTATAAACCACCTAATGTTAATATTGACGAGGAACAACAGCTGTTTGAGCAAATTGAGAAAGCTGCAAATCTGGGTAACACTTTAATTATTGGAGATTTTAATTACCCGGATATAAATTGGGACAGAGGGACTAGTGCCTCAGCAAAGGGAATTAGGTTTTTAAACTTGTTAAATGACACCTTAATGTCACAACTTGTACAAGCACCAACTAGAATGGATGCTTGTCTGGACCTGGTTTTAACAAACAACGTTGATCTTTTGACCAACATTCAAGTACCGTATATACTCGAGTATAAGCCGAGTTTTTCGGCACATTTTTTGTGCTGAAAAACCCCAACTCGGCTTATACTCAAGTCACTGTCTGTATTATGGCAATTTACATTAATTTACATTGCCATAATACAGACTGGGGGCTGGCAGAGCTGTTACTTACCTCTCCTGCAGCTCCTGCCAGCTCCCTCCTCCTCCGCGCCGGTCCGGTCAGCACCTCGGTCAGCTCCCAGTGTAAGTCTCGCGAGAGCGGCGGGGTCATAGTGCGGCTCTCGCGAGACTTACAGTGTGAGCTGAGAGAGGAGCTGCACGGACCGGCGCGGAGGAGGAGTGAGCGGACAGGAGCTGCAGGAGAGGTAAGTAACAGCTCTACCAGCCCCCTCCTCCCTCCACTGAACTGCCAATGCCACTGGACCACCAGGGAAGGAGAGCCCCCCTCCCTGCCATGTATCAAGCAGGGAGGGGGGACAACAAAATAAATAAAAAATGAATAATATATAAATAATAATAAAATAAATAAATTAATTAATAATATATAAATAATAATAAAAAAATAATTAAAAAATAATAATATAAAAAAAATTAAAATAATATTAATTTTTTATTTATATAAAAATGCCCACCCCCCACCAAGGCTCTGCAACACAAACACACACTGCATCACACACACACACACACACACACACACTGCATTCATACACACACACTGCATTCATACACACACACTGCACCACACACACACTGCACTCATATACACACACTGCACTCATACACACACTGCGCACTCATACACACACACTGCATTCATCATATACACACACTGTAAATAAATATTCAATTAATATAATTTTTTTAGGATCTAATTTTATTTAGAAATTTACCAGTAGCTGCTGCATTTCCCACCCTAGTCTTATACTCGAGTCAATAAGTTTTCCCAGTTTTTTGGGGTAAAATTAGGGGCCTCGGCTTATATTCGGCCCGCTTATACTCTCGAAAGTATATAATGTAGGTGAGCACTTGGGAAATAGTGATCACAATATAGTGTCCTTTGAAATAAACTCCAAAAAACAAAAGCACATGGGGAATACTAAAACATATAATTTTAAAAAGGCCAATTTCAATAAGTTAAGGGAAGCTTTACAATATATTGACTGGCATAAACTCTTTAGTGAAAAGAACACTGAGGATAAATGGATCATCTCCCAACAAATATTACAAAGGTACATTTCTCAGTATGTACCATTGGGAAATAAATATAAAAGAAACAAATTAAAACCAACATGGCTTAGTAGAGAAGTAAAACAAGAGATTACAACTAAGAGAAGGGCATTTAAAGCATTTAAATCGGACAAATCAGATGCATCTTATAAAAAGATATAAGGATGCAAATAATGCGTGCAAAAAGGCAATTAGACTTGCTAAACTTCAAAATGAAATAATGATAGCTGAAGAGAGCAAAACCAACCCCAAAGCATTTTTTAAGTACATAAATTCTAAAAAACCCCAAAATGAAAGTGTAGGTACACTAAAAACTGAAACGGGGGTGTTAATTAATGAAGACCAGGAAAAGGCAGGAATTTTAAATAACTCTTTCTCCTCCGTATATATTAAGGAAGAACCCATGGCAATAGATGTGCAAATGATTGCTACTAAAAACTTGCAGAATAATTGTAATTGGTTAACTCAAGACAAGGTGCTGCAGCAATTAAAGAAAGTTAATATAAACAAAGGTCCAGGGCCTGACGGTATCCATCCACGTGTACTTAAGGAACTAAGTGCAGAAATAAGTGAACCTCTGTTTTTAATCTTTCAAGATTCTTTTCTTTCAGGAAGTGTTCCGGAGGATTGGAGGAAGGCAGATGTGGTTCCTATATTCAAAAAGGGTTCAAAATCCTTGCCTGGGAATTATAGACCTGTGAGCTTAACTTCTGTGGCTGGTAAAATATTTGAAAGTTTATTAAGGGATAATATTCAAGAATTCCTTGAGAAGAACATGGTTATCAGCAAAAATCAGCATGGTTTTATGAAGCACAGGTCATGTCAAGGCATTTGATACAGTTCCACACAATAGATTAGTGTTCAAACTCAAGGAAATCGGTCTAGATGAAAATGCTTGTTCTTGGGCAGAACATTGGCTTAAAAACAGAGTACAAAGAGTTGTCATTAATGGTAAATTTTCAAGCTGGACAGAGGTGGCAAGTGGTGTCCCTCAAGGGTCTGTTCTGGGATCCCTTCTATTTAACATGTTTATAAATGATCTTGAAGACCGCATTGAAAGTCATGTTTCAGTGTTTGCAGATGACACAAAACTTTGTAAAACAATACAATGTGAGCAAGATATTACTTAGCTGCAGAGGGATTTAGATAGACTGGGAGACTGGGCACTCAAATGGCAGATGAAATTTAATGTTGAAAAATGCAAAGTTATGCACTTCGGCGTAAAGAATACACAAGCAACGTATACCCTTAATGGAAGCAAATTAAGGATAACAACACATGAAAAGGACTTGGGAATTGTTATAGACAACAAACTATGCAACAATGTGCAATGTCAATCAGCAGTGGCCAAGGCCAGTAAGGTATTGTCATGCATGAAAAAGGGCATTCATTCTCGGACAAGAATATAATTTTGCCTCTTTATAAATCACTGGTAAGACCCCATATTGAATATGCTGTGCAATTTTGGGCACCTGTTCTAAAGAAGGATATTATGGCACTAGAAAAAGCGCAGAGGCGGGCTACAAAATTAATAAAAGGAATGGAACATATCGGCTATGAAGAAAGGTTAACAAATTTAAACCTATTTAGTTTAGAAAAACGTCGCCTGAGAGAGGATATGATAACATTATACAAATATATTCGGGGCCAATACAAACCATTGTGTGGAAATCTATTCACAAACCGGACTTTA